TACCATGTACCAGGTATTACAAGAGTGACTTGGTCACTCTTCATGTAACTTGGGTACACTTGGGGTATGTACCCCGTTACAGTTACGGCACGGTGTCGCTAGCAGTGAAGGTCTTCCGCATAAGCCGGGCAGCCATCAAGCAGATCTGGGCCCTCCGAAATGACCCATCATCCCTCGTACTTCCGCGCAAGGCGTATTGTAGGCAGTGACTACAAAGCGCTCACATCACAGATTGTAAAATCAATAAATGATCCGGTTTTTGAGTATCATAAATCGTAGGATTTATTTACTAGTTATTCGATTAAATCCGTCCTGATGTATGATTGGCTGGAATTTTCGAATGATATGCTATCAGTTATGTTAACGGACAAAAAACCTCACTTCTTTGAAGGCCTAATTAGGGATCTTGCGCGCGATTGTGAGCGGTTTGGCTTGCGATATGTATTGAGATACCCAAAAGGAGCATCTGGTTAAAGTTCGATTTAATATGGCTTTTTTGGAGTGGAATTACGAAAAAAAAAAAACTTATCGAGCTGCAATCTGGCGCCACTCTTGCGCTGTTATTTACATTCTACTTGCCGTTAACACAACACAAAAAAGATGAGGAGAACCGTTATTCCGGAAGCTTTCGAACAAGGGTGTCAGTGCATCAAAATTCTACCTACAGATATAATTAGGGGGAAAATTGTCAAATAGCCATAAATTCGTGGGATAGAGAAGTAACTGATCTTAATGATTGTGTATTCCTCCGCAACGCTAGCGTCAGCTTCAGGATCATTGGTTGCTAGCCCATGGACATGAAGTGTAGTAACCAAGTTACAATCAAATCTTATCCATACTGAAAGCTACTTACCTGCTGATTGAAGTCGGACAAATATCTTGGGTTTCACGCAGCGCGCGAAGATGATGCAAGTGCTCTTCGAGCGAGGATGTCAGATGAAAAACCTGCATCGATGCCACCGCGGCGTCCACAGATTCATCTTGCTGTCTGAGTCATCAGACACGACCAGGTTATAAATGAAGATAACACCGTTCACAAGAGCGTACGTACCTCTTAAGGTCGGTAATTACCAGTCTAGCCAAGCTAGCCACCGTCTCATGCTGTTCATCACTCGGATCACGACTGCTGTTAATTGCGCGGAGTTCGATTTCGACTTCCTTGAGCTGCTTTACTGCCGTCTCTGTCGCTGCTTTCAACGTGGCATTGGATCGGGCAAGCTCTTCCGAGTGATAACGTTCTTTCTCCAGTTGATGGAGGAGTTCGTTATTCTCCGCTACGAGCAGCCGACTGTGAGCTGCCATATCGACTGACGATGAAACCTTTTGCTCGACCACCTGGATTCGGGTAGCAAGTTCTATGTGGCGCGCTTGCGCTTGTGTGAGTTGCATTCGCTCTTCCACCGCCAACGTATCGTCAACGTTCTCTTCTTCAAGTTTGCGGAATTGGAGCGCCATGGCTCTACGGTCCTGCCGCAGGCGAGCCAACTCGGTCCGAAGATGCGCATTTTCCGCTTCATTGTTCTGCCGGTCTTGTTCAAGAGTTTTCAGGCGGTTGTCTACCGATCGTTGACAACAACTAATAGCGTGCTCCAGCTTCTGTTTATCATCCGTCAGGGTCTTCACCTGCGCTCTCAAAGTCGTCGCCAGTTTTTGACACACACTTGCCATCGATTTCCACTGTTCGCCTTCCTCGACAATTTGGACCTCCGTCTGCAATGACATCTCCTGTCCATGCTTCAGCTGTCCCAGCTCTTGTTCGAATTCACGCTTTGAACTCATGGCTTTCTGCAACTCAATCTCTAGATCTTGTTTTGCCTCCTTCGAGTCCTGTAACTCGCGACTCAGGGCATTAGCCGCGTCTCTGAGTACTGCCAATTCTGCTTCCAGCTCACCAACTCGACGCGAACTCTGCTGTTCAGCAAAAGCCACGCGCGTCAGCTCAGACTGTAGCTCCTCCAGTGTCGAAGGGCCTGTGCCGGCACCATCGTCGTCTCCAACAAAGTGCCGAAGTATATAGTCTGCTTCCGCGTCACGCTGAGCCTCTTCTGCTCGTGCCGTGGCCACTTGAAGCTTCTCCACTTGCCGCGTCAGCATGTCGATGGTGTGAGCTGCTTTTAAGTCTTCGTCGTCGTGGTCAGCGAGCTTAGTGCGTAGCTGGGAAATGACAGCATCTTGTTTTTCACTCAGTTGATTCGAACGCTGCGCCTGATCTTCCAACTCGCTGATACGCTGCATTTGCTCGAGTTTATCACGTTCCAGCTGCTGGATCTCCACCTCTTGCTTGTGCAACTTGGCAAGATGAACTTGGAAGCGACTGGGTAGACGCAGCATGCTGCTGCTTGTAGAGGGGCTGGGCTCCATCGCGAACAAGAGGAAGTGGCCGAGCCAATGCACTTTCCGAAAGGAGTACTGAAATTGAAGTTAACATAACTCTTTACCGCTTGCATTACGAGCCTCACAGCAGGCAGCAGGTCGACAGATAAAATAATACAGTGTAATGTAAGACTTTGAGCCCCTCCCCATGAGCTTGTTGCAGTAAAGTTGAAGTTGTTCTATGTCACTATTCACCTGTCACTGAATCGCGGTCCTCATTGTCCAATGCAATGGCAAGGTAGGCCGAGATGGCGGCGCTGCTGCCTCCTCGCCAGGGCTCAACGCGCACTTCCAGGAGTCAAAAACAGAGTAGCTTTGAAACGGGGTTTCTCTAGTGCACCAGACATCTCGGACGTCCAGTCCGTAGTTAATACCAGCCGCGAGAAGGGCCTGGCATTCGAAGCGCAGGTTGTGACGCTCATGGAATCACTTAACTGCGAACTCCAGGCAACACGGCAGTCTCGCGATGGAGGAATCGATCACCAGGTGGGTATTCCGCTTCAAGTCGTTGCAATATGCGTATGTTTTAGCGCTGTAGGCACCAACAGTGGATGGTGCATTCCAGGGTTCGTGGACATTGCCAGACCTGGCGGTGGAGGTGGTGACGCAGTGCAAGAATGAGAGCAAACCGGTCGGTGTCCAGTATGTGCGTGAGTTTCACGGTGTTTTAAACTTCTTCCCGTCTACCACCGTGGGGCTCTTCGCTTCAGCGTCAGGCTACAGTCTCTACGCGCAGCGATTCTTCCTACGAATGACACACCCAGCCATCCTGTGTTCCGTAGATATCGACTCAGGTCGTCTCACGTCCTTCTTGCTAAACGACCGCGCTCAGACACTGCTGCCAAAGCTCACCGTTGGCTCGTCATTCATGAACCAAGAGCATGCTCTCGTACTCACCTATGGCGACAAGATCCTCGGCTGAAGCTCTATTTTTCATGTCAAGTCAATATAATCCAACAAATAACGATTGAGAGCATGGTCACCGTGAACATTATCACTACGTGTACTCTACGGCCTCTCAACATCGTGATCCAATATCCAGCGAAGCATTCACGGTAATAAACAGTGGTCGGACTGGTATGCTTCCGTTTCATTGGACAAAATCCTCTCTAAATTTTATGATTGGTCCATTACGCTGTACCAAGTTATCAACCTCATAATTCAACAGCCATCGTCGACGCGATCGCTCTTGACTCGATCTGTGTGCCCTTCGAGCTGGTTCCCGAGTCTCTGAGCCCCTCCGTCCTATGGCTGCGTCGCTGGACCTCGCAAGCCTGCAGTCCATGGCGCAGACGCTCCGCGGCAGCTTCTTGAGCCAGGCGCTGGTGCTGCTGCTTCTCGTGCTGGTGTTGCGCTACGTGGCCGCGTCGTGGCGTGCCGGCTTGGCGCCGTACGAGGTGCAGACGTGTCCACCCATCAATCCACACGTGCATTATCGCTACGGCGTTTCGCAGATGCAGGGGAGACGGCCGTACATGGAGGACCGCCACACAGCCATGGCGGATCTGAACGGAGACCCGAAGCAAAGCTTCTACGGCATCTTCGACGGACACGGAGGCGACGGCGCTGCAAAGTATGTCTAAACAGTTTTGTAACAGAGTGGTGGTAACTCATGAAATTTGCTGTAGTTATTGCGTACAGGCCATGTGTCAAAATGTGATCCGAGAGCCGTCCATCACGAAGGAACCGGCCGCAGCGCTGAAGAACGGATTCCTACGCACAGATCAAGAGGTTAGCGGATTTGTATTGATATCGCAATATCTGGATTATGTATTGAGGCCTGTTTCGTAATGTATGCAACAGTATTTGCAGATTGCCAACCGCAAGAATTCCGAGGACGGAACAACGGCAGTTGTGGTGCTTACACAGGGCAACGAAATCTTCGTGGCACATACAGGTGATTCTCGAGCGGTTTTGGTGCATCGTAGTGGCAAGGTGTCCGTTTTGACATCAGATCATAAGCCTAATCGACCGGACGAACGTCGGCGGATTCAAGAGTTAGGAGGATCGGTCGTCTTCTGGGGCGTATGGCGCGTTGAAGGCATCCTTGCTGTGTCCCGCGCTATTGGCGACCGCATGCTCAAGCCGTTTGTTGTTGCAGAGCCAGAAGTGAAACAGTTTACGCGAACGGAGGAGGATCGCTATGTCGTCCTTGCCAGTGACGGAGTCTGGGATACCGTCTCCAATGACGACGCGGCGCAGTTAGTGCTCAAATACGAAGACCCGCAGACTGCAGCGCAACGTATAATGGAGGAAGCGTACGCACGCGGTAGCATGGACAACATCTGCGCTATGGTCATTGACTTAAGAGAGTAAGTGGGGAAAGTGTGGGACTTGTTTGATGTCAAAGTTTGCTAAACTTGTGTGGCTATGATAACGTAGGGAAAATAACGAATGCGCAACAAAAGACACATAGTTCGTCGACTTAGTGGCTGGTGGTAGAGAGGGATAACAAATTGTCAAATACTTCGTAAGTAGTGGCGATGCCAATGACAACTTCGAAATACTAGTTGAACTCAAGACTTTTCACCAAGATATGCACCCCAATGGAAAAGTGGAAATAGACCTCGTATTCAAGTACATACAGGCTGTTAGCCTAACTACTTGAATGTGGGCTGAATCGGTTTGCAAAGCTCTTTGCGGAATTGTGGCTTGACGATGGGGTCCATGGATGCAGAGGCGTCGGTAACGTAGCGGATCTTGACGAGTGCTTCACTTTCATTGTTCCATCGCTCGCGGTGCTTCTGTAGTTCCTCGCCCCGCATCGTCCGCCCCTTCATTTCCCGCGGCGCAGCGAACTCTGTGGGCTTGCTAGAATTGCTGTACGAGGACTGGGAAATCGATTGCCACGTCCCGGATCCTCTCGTCTTGTCCGCCCCAACTAGCTCGTTGTAGTTGTAGTTGGATGTGTCGTTGACGTTGCGTAGTCCCGCACCGAACTCTTGCACCTTGATACGCGCTCCTTCCTGCATCTGAATGCGCGTGTTGCTGGTGTAGTTGGCGCCTCCATCGCGAACGTCCTTCACGGCGCCTGGGCGATAGGCCTCCTCCACGAAGTTCCCGACAAGCGTCTTGCACTCGAACGAGCGCTTGCCACCCCGCAAGATGTTCGAGCCACCGCCTCCTAGCATCGTAGCTTGATGATGAGTTTGAAATGGAGCAAGCAGGTCAAGTCCTTCATGTTGCCATTTATATCGTGGTTTGATCACAGCATTGCTAAATTAGCAGCGCTAAAGAGGACTATCTATCGATTGATAATCATTTCTGATTGGTCAATTCGAAAATGAAAGTGGCTGTTGAAGTTTCAGGATACTTCAACAGCGTATAATAATTGACCAGCACCTCAAGCTATTGATCAATACGGTCAACGCTACGGAGACGTTATCAAGTTGGCTAGCACCTCCATCTTTGCGGGAATCAACAGACTCGCTTCGCTTCAAGATCCTATTCAATCCGCTTAATAGGAAATAGCTGGCATGGTGGACTTCACCCGGTCAGCGTTGAGCTGTCACTCTAGTGTCAGTTCGTGAATGCCGAAGCAGATGGAGTGGACGTCGCCTTTTCATCCACAAGCAGATACATTATCAAGTTGGTAACTTACAGACACCTCTCCCGCGCAAACGGATAAAATTTATCTGAAGAGCAAAGCAACACATCACCGTCCGGCTCCGATAGAATGAGGAAATTGACACGTCGAGACTACGTACAACCGTTGTGCGCCGACACGTAAAAGTGACAAAATGTCTATCATGCAATAAAACCTCCTCAATCGCACAAATGGCTCCGACATTTTAGCGCAATGTTGAGTCCTCTATACTGTCACTAACAAATCAGACCTCTCGATCGGCATGACAGAATTTCACTCAATTGGATTGTCTCTTTCTCTGAACATACAAACACGCAGTCATTCTTGGCGAAAATCACTTGGGAGTGCTACCCACATCTGCTCATTTGCCATTCCGAGCGGCAAGGCGAAGCAGGTCGCTATTCAGACACCATGGGCGAGAGCTTGACCGTCAGGTATGTACACAGGACACCCGCACACCCCTCGGCGCTCTACAATGCTGAGGAAACGAGGGGGAAGCGTCTCCAACCCAACCAGGAAAATCTTTAACTAATACTTCCTGAATGCCTGCAGACTCTTCGTGCGCACGCAGACGTACGACATCCCATGTGACCCGCGGCAGCCTGCCAAATGGCTGCTAATGCAGGCTAAGAACATCCAGCGCTCCAGTCAGAAGAACACGCCACCGGAGGACGAGCTGGAGGTGCTATTTAACCGCACAACTCGCCGGGTAATCGACCTGGAGGACTCAATCGGCAGTAGCATATCTGCCATGGACGTGATCGATGCCCGTACGTTACTACAGACACCCGACACGTCATACAATAGTGTCATGTTCCCGTGGCTCCGCTCGTATCCGGGCGGCTTGCTCTCATCCGACAAGATCGACTCGTCCAATGGTCTCTTCTTCCAGCAGCTCTACGCCTTCACGCTGATTGGTAAGCGTACACCAGTGAGTGCGGCTCAACGCAAGCAGAAACAGGATCAAGACGCTTTCTTGTCGTTGCTACACACGTACGTCACGGGCAATTACGACCAGGACCACAAGTCACGACCACAGCCAACAGGTGTCCGACGAGTAACAGTGCCGTCGTCGCCTGTATATCCACCAGAGCACGACCCGAATGGCTTCTCAGACTCAGGATCAGACAGCAGCTTGGAGGACTCGCCGTCGTACCCTACACGCCCGAGAAACGACAACGTTGGGCCTCAGCGTATCCCCGCTCCTTCGAGTCCTGTACACCAGGTGCCGACGGTCCCGTCTCCTTCGGTTCCTCGTCCGCAGAACGCATTGGATGGGATGGAGAATGTATTCGATATTGTATTCAAGCAACAAGCTATTGGTATGAAGCTCGGCGCCGACGAGACCAAGCAATTCGCGATTGTCAAGGAGTGCTTCGAAGGATCCGAGGCCAAGAGATATCCAGAGATTCAAAGCGGTGTAGTTATCCTGGCGGTAAACGGACAGGAAGTGAGCGGGCTTGGACTGTCCCGCGTGCTCTATCGACTAAGAGAGGCCCCACGTCCTGTGGTTGTTCGCTTCGGTCGCATGTCGACGCGTCAATTGCTTGAGCGACGCAAGGCTCATGGTCGGTGGTAAATACTAACCAAACCGCTAGCATTGGCATTAAAAAAAACAAAGGAGACCTTCGTGATCAAATCGTTAATAGTATGTTTGCCAGCAGAATGTTTAAATGGACGGTAAGGCATTACAATTGCTTGTTCTCGAGAAGTTATCCCTCCAAGTACAAGTTTTATTTTCTTGAATTTAGCATCTAATAACTAAAATTACGTTTCTAGCCCATCGATGCCCCTCGTCATCGAAAGTTCACCTTGTGTCAATGGCCTCGATGGAGTCGTCTCCTGCATCTGCAGAGCGGCCCAACGACGCTCAGGACGCCTCTCCATCCGAAGATGAAGTGCACGTCCGTCAACTGTTGCGCGACCTTCATGTGGACACGGGCGATGTGGTGTTGTTCGACCGCAAATGCTCGTCGATGGGACTCTACGGCGGCGCTATCTGCGTGTGCGCAAAGTTCTTCGGTCAAACGCAATGGGACCACAACGGTGTTGTGGTGCGGGCTCCGTCACTAGCTCCCAACGCCAAGTCGCCCGAAGACGAGCTGTTCCTGTTGGAAGCAGCACTCACAGGCGTCAAACTACGTCCACTAGTGGCGCGCGTGCTGCTCAGTCGCGGTCACGAAGTCGCAGTGCGCAAACTGCAGGTGGATCGAACGTCAGAGCTACAAAATAAGGCCCTGCAATTCGCTTTAAACAGTCTGAATGCTCCGTACGAGGACAATCCCGCTAGATTCTTCAATGCCGGCGTATCAGTGCCTACCAGGATCGCTCGTGAACGGATCTTCGCGGCTCTGGTAGCTACTAAGAAGGAGCTCGCGAGACTGGATACAGAGCTAGCACACAGAGACAAGATGCCGGTGTTCGAGAAGAAAGCTCTATTGCAGGAGAGAGAGACCGTGAATGAACGGTATCAAGCACTTGGAGCGGAACTGAGAGGCAGGGAACGCTCAGTGTTTGAGAACGCAGTAGTGGAAGGAGAATCAGTGAAGACGACCAAAATGTTCTGCTCGCAATTGGTGGCAGGGATGTATCAGCACTTGGGATTGTTGCTACCGTACCCGTCTGCGAACTCATATTTGCCCAAACACTTTAGTGATCGCGATGGTGGATATTTTCTGAAGTTGCAGCAAGGAGCGAGTTTTTTACCGGAGATTTCCATGAGGAAAGAGCTGGATAAAATGACGGAGAGATATGCGACGCGAGTACAAGAAGCCAAGGAGAGAGGACCGCGTACTGGTTCAGAGACGGCGGCTATTGTGCACTGCTTACGTCGCCATCAGTTGTTCCACACGCTGAGCGAGCCAGAACTTTTATCAGCAGCGTCACAATTCCGACGCCGTGTACTGGCCAAAGGAGAAGTGGTTTTCTACCAAGGAGCACCTGGTGACTGCTTCTATATCATTGAACGTGGAGATTGCGACGTATTCGTAGACTACGACCACCTCTTGAAGACCCAGACAGCTCTCCATGCAGCAGACTCTGAGAATTCTCCGAATCCAGAGCTCCAACGCCGTATCCAGTTACGTAAACGCAAGACGATCGCTCTGCCTGAGTTCAAGTCGTCGTCGAGTCTCGTAGGCAAGAACGAACGTGTCCATGTGGCTACAAATGGCCCTGGTAACGCATTTGGAGAATCAGCGCTGATCTACGACACCCCGCGACGTGCTACGATCCAGGCTAGCACCACCAACTCGAGTGATGAAGAAGCTGTGGTGTTGTGGCAACTGGACAAGCGTACGTTCCGGGAGATCCTGGCGGGACATCCAGGTAGTCAACAATCACTGGAAGAGCGTCGATTCTTGCTTGAAGCATTGGAAGATCATCCATTATTTACTGAACTTGATGATCGAGCGAAAGCTCTGGCTGTACGCAAGTGTTTCCCACTGAGTGTGCGTGCTGGAACGACAATTTTACGGCAAGGAGATCCAGGCGACTACTTCTACCTGGTTGAAAGCGGTCGATGTGAAGTGTCACGTCGTAAACCAAAAGCGACCAAGCCTTTCGTGGATCGAGTCATTGGTCGTGGTGCCAGTTTCGGGGAAGCTGCGTTGCTGTACAATAGCCGTCGAGGCGCCTCAGTGAAAGCGCTGGAAGATGCCAAGATCTGGTGTATGGATCGCGCCAGCTTCCTCACGATCACACGCAGTGGCTCTACTGCACTTCACAAACTGTTCAAGAAAGTGGGCACTACTGTCGTCTCTGGATCCAGCGAGAGTTTTGCTACTGAACGAGATCTACGTCGAATGCTGACTGACCCACAGCAGGTGCAGTTAGTGAGACATAGTGCCAACGAAGACGAAGATGATGATGATCTTGGAAGACCAGCGTTACATCCTGCATCGCTGCCACCACCGCAGGCTTACGATCGTGCAGTCCAGCTGGCGTTGGCACTTTTGCTTAATGATTCATCCGGACTCGTCAATTTCTCCCAGTTTGCTCACTTCCACATTGCATTAGGCGCTTCAAACATCGACCAACTCCTTCCAGAAGCTGTTTTCCGTGTGTTGAAGTCGATGACAGACTCGTATGATGGTGGGAACACTCGCGTACCGACTGCATCGCTCTTCGATCAGGACGATGTAGACCAAGCCGCAATCAAGTTGAATGATCTCCCTCGTGCCATTCAGCAGTGGGTATCCACGAGTAAGACTTCGATGGCTACACCCGTTCAAATGACGCCTGGTCAATTAGCGTTCTACGAGCGCTTGTTCGACTTGCCAGCACATAAACTTGGCGATCAATATGTGACTCACGATGACCTGGTACGTGGAATAGCAGCGTTCGAAGTGGAGGACGTTCGCTCGCAAAGTGATCAAGATGACGACCACCCTCAATCCGAAGACGTGACGGCGGCAAAGGAGGAATTCCGCACTTTCCTGACCGCTCTGAAGGCGGATATTGATGCGCTGCGTACCATTTGGCGAGCCGCTGAGTTGCAAGCGCACGGTGGGGACCACCTTAATATGACTCGTGACCAGGAAAGACTCACGTTCGATGCAAATCTCAAATCTGGATGGATCTCAGCTCTTCGTCAGAATCCTACGGGTGGTGACTGGGAATATCTGCAGCCGGAGATGGAAGACACTCGAAGCAAGGCGTACAATACGATCAACGCTAATCTACGAAGACAGCAACTGAGTGCGCAGATCACGTCGTTTGCCGCTGCCATTGCGGCTGGTGCCCTAGCACGTACCGTGTGTGCACCTCTGGAGCGCTTGAAGATGTTGATGCAGCTATCTACTCCGAAGCCAACGTCTGCAGCAGCGACCGTGAACCTTTTGTCTGGTACGGGTCCATACACGTCCTTAACGAGAGGCTTTCTGAACATGGTGAAGCTCAGCGGACCACGCAGTTTGTTCAGTGGAAATCTCGCGCACTGTATCTGGGTGGTGCCTTCTGTCCCTACAAAGGTTATTCTGTGTCACGTCTACCAAGAGCAACTTGCTCGTATGCTTCCCGAGTCTACGTCGCCTTTTGGACATAACCCGCGAGTGTCAGCCAGTATGGCCAATCTCGCTGTTGGAGGCCTCGCTGGATTGACGCTCAACTGCTTGTTCTACCCACTGGACGTCATTCGTGGCCGGCTGACCGTACAGCAATACTATAACGCTAACCGTCCTTCGAGTGGCATTCTGAACTGCGCTCGCTCGATCAGTGACAAGGAAGGGCTGCGAGGGTTCTATCGAGGCTTCGTGTCTGCGAGTCTGGGTGTCTTCACGTACATCGGCTGCAACTTTGCTCTGTACGAATCATTACGCCCAGTTTTCGTACTCTACGACACGGAAGACACGAGCAATCAGCTTGGCCATCCCAGTGTACCTGGTCAGATTCTGTGCGCCACCACGGCGTCGCTCGCGTCACAGTGCATTTCGTACCCATTCGACGTTATTCGGCGACGTGTGCAGCTGCAGGGCGCCAAGTGGCATCCAGAGCTCGCGTTCCCGACGTATGAAAGTGCGTGGCACTGTGTACGAGCATCTGTAGCGGAGGAAGGCGGGGGTGTACGGGGACTACGCTCGCTGTATCGCGGTTTGTTCGTGAACGCCGTCAAGGCGCTGCCATCCACTGTAATCTCCTTCCTCAGCTACGAGAAGCTGCGCGAAATGAAACACAATGCTTAAGACGATTAGAGAAGCTAATGAGAATTTGGCAATAGATTTTTTCAAATTCATCACTGATTGGCTGATCACTACAATTTAAAGTGACCCACAAGATTTGGCTATCATTTGAATCGAGAGTGATTGTCATTCAAGTTGAAGTGCGCGATTCCGCATCCGAGAGCTCTTATCTGCAGGTCAATCCACCGCTATGCAGACGCCTGGCAACGGGTACACAGAAGGCTGGACGTTACGAGACCAAGCGACCGAGTACAGTCGTCTACAGCAGGAGAATTTCAACCACAAGATGCGCATCCATTTCCTGGAAGAGCAGCTCATCCGTCTCAACAACGGCGATACGGTATTTGGGAGTGAGGAGTTGCAAGTGGAAGTGGCTCAGCTTCGCAGTGCACTTGGGGAACGTGACCAGCTACTGGCGGAACAAGATGCGGCGATGAATCGAGCCACTCAAGCCATCGACATGCTGAAAGAGCAGCTTCGCGAGGCAGAACAAACGCGGCGATCTGTTCTCAGAACCAATGACGTAGAAGCTGTACGTGCAGAGCTTGAGAGCGTGGTACAGAAGAGTACACGCCGAGCGCGTGAGCTTGAATTGGGGCTGAGTTTGACAAGGGAAACGGCCGAATCGCTGAGTAAAGAGCTGCAGTATGCGCAGGAGAACTACAGGACAAGCATGGATATCGCGGAGAAGTCAAAGGCACGTGACTTGCAAATACTGCAACAACAGAAGAGCGATGTCGACATGCTTCGTGAGGAGATAGCGCATATGACGAGAATGAGTCAAGGCAAGGATGAATTGGTGGTGAGTTTGCGCGCAGCAGTGAATTCATTGCGGCAGCGTAAGGAGCAAAAAGCGAAGGAGCACACTGTTGCGCTTTCTAGACTCTACCAGGAAGCGGTGGAGATGAAGGTGAAAGAAGAGCAATGCCACTCAAAATGGCATGCTGCATATGCTCTACTGGAAAGAACGTGGAAGGACGAGCTGTCTGGGCTAGTAACACGACATGGAACTAATGGAGGAGAGCGCTAATCAGGTAAGCGTGAATGACAGCCATAGTGCTGCGGTAAAATGATGCTGACGGGGTCCGCTTTGTTGAATAATATGGTTGGCTAGTGAGTACATATCTGTTCGTCGAGTACGAGCGGCACTATACTATATTACTGACCCGTATCCTGGACAGGAACTAGGTTCAGCATGACGGATATTTAGACACGCTTAATCGCGGACATTCCGGATCTCCTTCTCCAAGTCTTGCACCTTCATGCCCACACGTCCTAAGGATGACAGAGAGTTGCGATACAAGTCATTCACACTACGACGAGCAGTCGAAGTCTTCGAGTTGTGGTCGAACCCGTTCTGCTTGACTGGACTCTCGCACTGCGGCTGGCTGGCACTGCGACGTCGGTGCTCGTCGAAGACATCAGCGTCAAGGGAAGACCACTTGGTAGTCCTACCTTCTCGTCGCTTCACCGAGGCGTTGTTGTCCCCAGCAACGATGCGTTCCTTCTCGATACGCTTCTTGTCGTCGCGTTCCTTCTGCAGGACACCGGCGATGTTGTTGACCACATCACGAATGGCCTCCGAGACGCGCACAGCTTCAGTAAGAAGACGAGAACACTTCCGCTCGACGTCGTCCACCCAGCGAGGTTGACTCTTTGTATGATCAAATCCCCGAGACGCAGACTTCCAGGCATCGCCATACCGTCGCTGTAGTTCTTGAGACTGGGTCATGAACTCTCCCCACCGCTGCGACACCAACTGCATCCGACCAATGTACTCGTCCAGCTGCAGAATTGCCGCCTCGTAGCTCTCATCCCTGCCGACTACAGGACCACGAACGATGGGACTGTCCTCCCATCGCTTATACGTCTCTGTGATCATGTACTGGGTCTGCTCCAGTTGCTCCAGCAGCGTCTGCTTCACCTCGCCGAACTCAACACGTCGCTGCAGCTGCTGAGTGTGCTTCATCACAGCGGATTTGTACTTCTCGATGTCCTTGTCGCGTCCAGCGATGGCATCTTTGTACATCTCAATGGCCTTCAGCAGCTCCTTGTTCTCTCGGACTGTCTGCATGTACTGCTTGCGAGCGTGCTCAGCTGACCGTCGACGTTCCTGGACTTCTTCATACAACAGGCGATTACTCTCCTTAAGATCATGGTAGTCGTGATCAGAAGCTTCACGTAAGCCCTCTTGGGCTTGCTTCAAAGTTTCAAGGTCGCTTGATGCCTGGGTAAGCGCCTGTTCTGCCTCTGCAGCTTTGGCTCGGAAATAGTGGATCTCTTTTTCAAGTGATCGTCGCTCATCTTCCTTCTCCGAGCGCAGTTCTTCATACCGAAGAGACCAGGTCTTCTCCAGAGACTGCTTCGCATCTTTCGCATGAAAGGAAGAACGTTGCAGAACGTCCACTTTGGCTTGACTGGCGCGTAGCTGGGATGACACGCGCTCAAGCTTTGAATTCACCATAGACTGCTGCTGTTTCCAGCGAGATTGCATCGCTGCAGCCTCCACTTTGAACTCATCTTTCAGAGCTGAGATGGTCTCCCGCACAAGACTCACCACGGATTGCCGATCATCGCTAAATGCTCGGCTACGACTTGATAAAAGCGAGCGAAGTTCCGTTTCCACAGCTTCCAGCTCTCGTTGAGCTGCCAAGCTCTCAACTTTCAACGTAGATACCGTTCGCTCGACCTCATCGGCACGTCGACGCTCTTCATCCAGCTGTCGTAGCAGCGCACTCTTCTCCGTAGCAAACTGGTTTTGCCACTCCATCTGCTGCTGTCGAGCTGCAGAGGTAGTCGATGAACTGGCTGATACCGCGTCTGCTAACTGCTGCTCTAGTTCCTGCACACAAGCTGATCGTCGAGTCAATTCGTCTTCACATCCAGCCAGTTGATTTTGATACTCTTGCAGCTGAGCAGATTGTCTCTCCAGTTCCTGTTCGTACGCAGACAGGTGGTGACGCTGCTCCAGCGCATTTGCAGCTTCGTTAGAGAACCTCTCCTCGCTGTCCTGAACCTTCCGTTCCATAGCCTCAAGATCCAACTGAAAGCCCGACAACTCGGCACGAAGGCGGCGGTTGTCCTCTTCCATAGCTTGTCGGTCCTTCTCCAACGCCAATAACCGTTCGTTCGACGTCTGCTGGCAACGAGACTCGGCCAAATCACACTGTTCCTTCATCCTGCGGGCCTCAGCCTCAGCATGTTCTAACCGACTTTCCAACGTCTTAACCGTTAGGTCCTGTTCATTCTCCATCTTGCGTCGCTGATGCAACTCCGACTCCAGCTGGTGAATCGTGTCCAGCGCAGCCTCGCGCTCATTCCTAAAGCTGTCGAGAGACTTGCTCTGCTCTTCACAGGCCGCAGATAGTTTCACATTCTGGAGACGCAGTCGCTCCAAATCACCAGCAAGTTGCTGTCTCTCCTCCGTCATACCCTCAATCTCAGTCTGTAGTCTAACACGCTCTTGTTTAATGCTCTCGTTCTCCATTGCAAGACGCTCCTTGTCAAAGTGGGTCTTCTCACGATCCGTCAGTAGTCTTGTGTGCTCTGCGCGGTAGTTTTCGCTCTCGCGTTGCAGCTGCTCCATCTGATGTTGAACCTGCTCCTCCATCCTCTTGAGTTTGGCCTGATACCGAGCATCCAGCGCTTGTTTGTCCTGTCTCATTGTATCTACCTGTAGTTGCAGCGCTGTAAGCTGCTCTTCGCGCTGCTTACTCACAACCTTCCAGTGTTCTGCCTCAGCTGAGAGCTTCACGTTGGCCATCTCGACCTGTTGCAAGTTCTGCTGTTCTCTCTGAGAACGCAGCTCGATTTCTCTCTGGTCTCGCGTTCTAGCGTCCTGTAGCTCCTGTAACTGAGCAGTTAGCGTCACTACGGCTTCTCGTTGTCTCTGCAACTCTGGTTCCAGCTCCTGGATCTTCAGTTGGCTCTGCTGTTCCTTGTGAAGCGCTGTATCGAGCTCCACTCGCCATCTCTCGGCTGTTTCAGAGTCTACGCCGCCCCTTTCTTCGAGATGCTGATGCAGCAGGGTCTCTGCTTCTTTTTGTGCTTCCTCTCGGGCTCTAGCGGCCGCTGCTTGGGCCTCGTGGAGCTGTGCGTTGAGCATATCGATGGCCTCCGTGGCGCGGATCATACTGAAGTTGCGCTGCCGCAGCTCGTGGTCACGCTCCTCCAGCGTGATACGCAGCTGTGCAAGCTCGCTCTCGAGGTCCTCGCTGGCGAAGTCTGTGCCCTGCTTCATGCGCAGCAGTCGCTCCTCTAGGAAATTGATGCGTAATGCCTGGTTGAAATTGTCCATGCGCAAACGCTCTCGCTCAGCCTCCTGCTCGCGCAAAAGCGTCGAGTTGTCGCGCGTGGGTGTCATGGGCGTCCCGCCTCCTCCGTCACCCTCCCCGCGGGCGCGTTGCGGAGTCTGCATGACGAGGAATGATCTCCGATACAGCGGGTTCTGCCTCTTGGGCGATGTCTTGCTATTTTGAGCGTTGGGGTTTCGCGCGCGAATAACATATGGTGGTTTGTATGAGACTTTTGAGTGGATGGTGGACCAAAGTCAGACCAAAAGCCGGACTAAAAATACCCCGGATATCTCAGCTCTTGAGCTGCTCAAATTCCTATCAACCAGGCCAGATTGAAAAACTTAGTCCCAACGTCAAGATATGTTCAACTCGACAGTCGAAGAGCTCTTCAGTTCCTCGGGTGTGGCATGTCGTGAGATCGAGTTGCAAATTGTCACGGCACTGCATACCACAACCGATATTCAAAGCAAGTAAACAATCCCAACTTTACTGAGCAGCTATTTCTATCGATTCACCTCGTTCGAGGCTTGCGGCCAGCGGTGCTTAGCGGGCGCTTTGCCGTCCTGGCAAAAACATCGGCAAAAACAATGAGTAATAGTAGTCTACACACGAACCATCACCGCTTTTTTTGCGTACCTTAGTAGTGTAGTAATATATTCCTTATTCAGGAGGAGCTGGTCAGCCAAAACTCGAGAATACATCAAGCGACAACATGTAAGGGATAGTTTATCAGCTACCTACTGGACTGCGAGCAATCACTAGGCATTTTAATATCTCACTTCATTTGCTTAAACTTAAAACTGCTACGACCAGTCCACCACACATCGACGTGTTGGTCTCGCGCGCAGTTCGTTCTCGAAGCACTAGCGCTCCATCGACTCTATTAGGCTTCGAAGATGTGTCACGAGATCATTAAGATGAGCAGCATTTGGTTCTCGAACTGGCGACGTCGAAGGCAAACGCGCGCGATATCCGCCTCAGTCTCGATGAACTGGTCATTTAGCAGTTCATAAGACCGTTCGCCACGTCGGCGTCGCCCAGCATTATCGTCATTCACTTCAATTTCATGCTGTAAGAGCCTGAAGCCTCGCACGAGACGTCGGAGCTTTGCAATCAGGACGTTATGTTGCTGCACAATCTCCATGTGCGTCTTGTCGAGAAGCAAGCCCAACGTCAACAACTCAAGCTGGAGCGACAGAACAGCAGTGATTACTGTAGTTACGGTCATTCAGGTGATTCAGTTGCTGCCGTTGCCGATGCGAGCGATGGCAAATGACAAGTTGAAGTGACCTTTCTAAATCAGATTAACGACATGTCATTAAATTGAGAAATTGTGACATGTCGCTTAAATGGGGTTAAAGGGATCCCAATACCGTCGGCACTTTCAATAGCTCTCGAACAAGCCACGATGATCCTCAACCTGAGTGTTGTGCAGCTGCTATTCTTGCCGCCTGTGCTGCTGCTATTGTCGGGCCTAGCGCTCTTCAACTTTCAGAACGTCTTCCGCTTCCTCACCATGAGTGCGTCAGGCGTATATCCTGCTTGTATGATTTTCTCATTACCGACTGACAGCTCCGATTGATCATCAGACCTCAAAAGTTACATGACGATTCCGGCCGTGCAATCGCTCAAGCCCTGTAAGCTAAGAACGTGTCACCTGTCAAGATCATATCCAAACTAACGAACGCTTTGCTGTATACTCTCTACAGACGCCGACAAGTTGCGCTACGCTCTGGAGCAAGTGCTGGGTATGTTTGAGAGCTTCTATTGATGCACTCAGGAAAGTAGAGCGCTAACTTAACCCTGGCATGCGCAGGCAAGGCGTCGTCTTTCAAGTTCAATGTATCGCATGTGCTCATGATGGCGGTGGTGATCATGTTGATCGCCATCTACGACGCCATCCAGAAGAACAACCAGCTCCAGGAACAGCAACTCAAGCTACGCCAGAAGAGCAAGCGCGCGTAGATCTAACCAGTTGACCGACACGTTTTCCCCAAAAATTCAGGGAGATAATGCTTACCGTCCATGTATCGTAACACCTTGCTAAAGTTTTGAAACTTATACTCCATTTTACTTAATCGTGAGTACAAGCAAGCTACCTAGAAGAAAAAAGAAATTCACATGCAGCTACAACGCGTCGCTGGTTCATACGCGTGTCAGTCGGTCTCTGGAGTAGACACTTAATATCCGCGAGCCATACATGCGCTCAGGATATCGAAAGAGCTGCGCTTACGCATACAAGCTCTCGATGACCGACTCGTACTTCTCGTACACGACCTTGCGCTTCAGCTTGAGCGTGGGCGTCAGTTCGTTGCCGTTGATGGAGAAGTCGTGGTCCAGCACAGTGTACTTGGCGATATTCTGCGCACGCGACGTGGCACGAGCGTTGGCGCGCTTCAGGCCTTCGTCCAGATACGCCTTCACCTTCTCGTCAGCACGCGCCTCCGCCACAGTCGTAGCCGAGCTGCCGATCTCCTTCATAACGTGGAGCGCCTTCTCATCCAGCGTGTCCGTCGGCTGGCCTTCCTTGTCCACCGTCACACGCAGCGTGAACAGAGCCGACAGGAACTTGCGACGGTCGCCGATTACCATAACATTCGACAGCAGCGGGAGTTCCTCCTTGATCGTGTCCTCAATGATGACAGGAGGGACGTTCTCGCCACCCGCAGTGATCAGAAGCTCCTTGATACGACCGGTAATCGTCATGAAGCCGTCCTCATCGATCTTACCGCAGTCACCAGAGTGCAGCCAGCCATCCTCGTCAATAGTGTCCTTGGTCTGCTGCTCGCCCTTGAGGTATCCCATCATAATGTTACGACCACCGAAGATCAGTTCCTGCGTCTCAGGCACCACCTTCGTCTCCGAGCCGTCGATAGTGCGGCCACACGTGCTGATCTTCCAGTTGCCGTTCATGCTGCACGTCTGTGGGCCACAAGCCTCACTCTGGCCGAAGAACTCGTACACAGGCAGATCCAGCGAACCGAAGTACTCTACAACCTCCCTGCTAATAGGCGCCGCACCGCTGAAGCTGGCAATGCACTGGTCCAGACCCAGAGCCTCCTTCACACGCATGAGCACAACAGCGTTTGCCACGCCGAAACCGCACGGGGCGCCTCCAGAGTTGCCGTACTGGGCCAGCGCTGTCTTCTGAGCAGCCTTGTCCTTCGCCCAGGCCGCAATACGCTTCTTGATGCCCGTCGTCTGGGCCGCAATCGACCACATCTTCTCGGCGATCTTCTCCCACACGCGGGGCACGCCGAAGAAGAACGTAGGACGAACTTCCTTGAGCGTCACACCCAGCGAGCCCTTCAAAGCATCAGGCTGGGCGAAGTAGATCTGCAGACCGCCGCAAATGGGCAGCCAGATGTCGATCAGCTGAGCAGCAACGTGGGACATGGGCAGGTAGCTCACGAGACGGTCTCCGTTGTGCATCTGGTGGTTGAAGTTGCGCTTGATCATGCCCACCACACTCAGGATGGTCCAGACCACGTTGTCGTGCGAGATCATGACGGCCTTGGGGTCGCCCGTCGTGCCGGACGTGTAGATGAGCGTGCAGCAGTTGCCGGGCTTCTGCGAGTCCATGATCTCCTTCAGCGTCTCGTCCTTGACGTCCTTGCCGAGTTCCATGAAGTCCTCGAACGAATACACAGGCACGGGGGACTGGATGCCCTCAGGCACGACGTCGTTCCACATCACAAGAGCCTTGAGCTTGGGGAGATCCTTTGCGATGGCCAGGAACTTCTCCAGCTGCTTCATGCCGTCACAGACGACGACACCCGAGTCCGAGTGTCGCGCAATGAACTCGCAGGCCTTCGGGTTGTTCGTCGTGTAGATACCAGCAGCCACACCGCCGGCAAAGATGGCGCCGACGTCGGCGATGGCCCATTCGGGCGAGTTAAAGCCGATGATACTCACGCCCTGGTACCGCTCAAGGCCGACGTGCAGCAGCGACTTGGCGAACTGGCAGCACTTGTCGTAGTATTGCTGGAACGAGTACGACGCCCTGCAGAATTAGATACATACGCGTTAAAATAGCCGAATACTTTCCAGTGTGTCCCTTAAGCTACGTACCACTCGCCGTCCTTCTTGTAGTGAAGCGCATTGGCCGAGCCGTACTTGGCCAGCGTGTTCTGGAAGGCCTGCGCGGCCGTGATGGCGGGGCGTGCGCCAGCGCCGGACTCCGTCATGCGGATCTTAACCTCCTCATCGATCTTCCACGTCTACAGGGACACAGACACACTAGAACGTCAGCCTTTACACCGCATAGGAGCGCCGATGTGGCTGCAGCGACGTACCGTGTACTCGGAGGCCATTGTGGATGCTGTTGGTCTCTCGATGCCGCGATTCTTCTGCGTTTTGTGTCGCAAATTCCGCACTGGGGGAGATCAAAGCCGACGTCTGGGCGGACTCTGGGTGCCCATAGTGAAACGGAGACCAGCTTTTTATCTTGTTTTTGTATGCTGCAACTTCCAGGAAACCCTCTTTTTTTCGGCCAATCACCGGCGAGTCGAACAAGCGATACGTGCGTGGCCAGGCCCGTCCACACAGATCCCGACTTGATCACTTCGATGTATCGGAGGAAACCTGGCGTGTAGTGAGCCACTGGGAAACACAGACGATGATTACTATATTACATCGGCTTCGCAGCCGAGTTTCCAGTCGTGAAGACGAAATGCAGCCAAATTGCAGTCATACACGACGATAGACAGGATTTGCATGACGAGGTCTTCGGAGTCTTCGGCATAAGCTCGTCGGGTTTGTCACCCGCTGCATTGAAAGCTCAGTCAGCGAGAGTGGGAGTGCGGGAGCGAGATCGAATGCGAGGTTTGTGTTGAAGCCCTTGAAGTCCCCGTCGTGGCCGGGCCGTCGCCGAACCGGACGTTGCCTTGACAGCAGTGGCACACCTTCGAACGGGCGCCAATGACGATAACAGCGGCATCGCTAGTGCCTTGCAGGTATTCGAACCGCTACGCTCGTGTACTTGTAGTGGTCGTGCATGCAATGTTAAACAAGTTACAGCAGCAGCTTCGGTGAAGCTCGGCGAACACTGAGGGTGATCATCACCATGATGGCAGTTGTCCCAAGGGCGACAACATAGGCAGTTGCTTACGCCGCCTTTGTCAGTTTATATCCTGTCGTCTGGCATTGGTTTCCAAAATCCTACTTGCAATAAAACAAAGTTTAAAAACCCTTCATAACCAATATATACCTGCAAAAGCATATCGTTTAATCGATGTCCTGATTGCGCGCCATGGGACACACTTCAACATGGATGGACCCTCAAGTCTCCGTTCCAAAATGGCTCCTCGATTGCAGGTCACTGGCCGCTGCGCTCCTGGACACTCAAGTGGAAGCAGCATTGCCAACCCTTACTCCTCTCTGTCGAAGAGTGCATACTCGTTTCTTGGTTTGTGGCCGCATGGGCATCACTTTGCATTGTTCACCGTCTTTTGAATAGTAGCCGTGTATCGTGTTCCTGGCGCCTCGGCGACGTGACCACCGGCCACGAGGGCAACTCATGTCAGCTCCGCTTGACTGCCGAAGCTTCCGGTGCCCTTCCTCGTGTCCACTGAGATGTCAGTGGCAAGACTTCTGCTGCCCAATGCTATGCAGCCATTCATTCCGGTTTGGAACCGCGAGTGCATGTACTTATCATGATCACTCCAAAGAGGCGCCTGCCAAGCTTGAATCTCTCTATACTTGCACTTCAAGAAGTATCTCTCGTGCTAGCTGCGTACAAAATGAGCTGTCGTAGAAGCAAGGGGTTGTGAGTGCTAGGCTACGGAGCCGGGTTGTCTGGCAGACTCCGACACTGTCTGCGGTACCCATCCAATGGTTATCTTCGGTCACACATAAATCGTTACACAAGGTTCATCGGTACAGCGTACGTGGGGAGACGTGGTGTGTTTACATGCTCACATGTCAATAGGCATCGGCAAAGGTACGACGTAACCAGTCCACGCAATCGATACTGTCCGTTGATGCTTGCCGAGAAATTGTAAATTTCAGTTTCAGTAAATTTCAGTTTCAGCTTCGTATATGTACTAGTCGTAGAGCTGTTGAAAGGCACTATCTTGAGGTGTCACTTACGTGAGGCATTTGTATTTTTGCACGTTGATTTCTCCACTTCAACTGTCGCACCAGTCGACCTTCATAGACACGCTTGATAAGAGCTGCGAACATGAAGAAGGCATCCCCGCGATCGAGCAACCTGGCAATCATTGTGGCGATATGCCCGTGTTTGTTCTACTTCATGTGCTCGCTGGCAATGAATCTACTCACGAAAACGCTAGTGACGACGTTCCAGTGGCGTTTCGTCTACACTTTGGGCGCTGTCCAAAGTATCTTCACGCTGGCAAGTCTCTCGCTGCTATCAACGATGCAGCGCGTTCACGCCGTCGCCATTGGCGCCAAACAACATATCAACGTCAATTCAGTGGAGATGAAACACCGAGGCTTCATCTACGTGCTACGAGTGTTGCTGCCGTTAATGGCACTGCATCTGAGCAACATGCTGCTGGGTTTCGCGAGTCTGCAGGTGGTGAACCTGCCCATGTACGTCACACTGCAGAATACCTCAACCTCTTCTCTGTAGCGTTTGGCATTAGATATTAAATGTAAAATTGTTTATACATGTTTGTGCTCCTCCAGGTACTTGGTTCTACGTCGATTGACGACGATTACGGTCTTGCTGATCGAGTGGCTTGTGCTGGACAAGGTATGTCGTTATCGAACAGGTCGCTAAGTGGTAACTTACATGTCAATATGGTGCCGTTAGGCCATTTCCGGGTCGATCAAGCTGGCGATTTTCGGTGCGATATCGGTCAAATGCTGATTTACCTGTGGGTGTCCACTTGCTAACTGTTGCAATTCTGGTTTCATGGTGTAGTGAGTTCTGCTGGCAGTCTGATTGCAGGCAGCACTGACGCAATGTCCGCTGGGTGCGAGGGCTACGCTTTGGTGCTACTACAAAACCTCTGCACTGCAATGTCCCTTGCATTATCCAAAGAAAGCGCGTTGACTCCGCGCCAGCTCGTGATCCTCAACAGCCTAGCTGGTGCAGTCTGCTGTTCCGTGCTTGGATTCATATTTGAACGCGACGAGGTGCTGGAATTTCCTCACTTAAGTGACCCTCGTTTCATCGCTGGAATGATGATCATGTGCAGCATGTGTGTGCTCTACCAGTTCTCGGTGCAGTTCTGCACTCTCTACACTTCAGCACTCACCACATCGGTAACTGGGAATATCAAGGACCTCTTCGCTACAGTCGGTGGCTACCTCTTATTCCCCGATGCACCCACTCAATTCGCCAACTTCGTGGGGGTCGCGCTCTCCTTCATCGGCGCATACTCTTTCTCATATATCCGCTACCGTGCACTAGTAGGGCCGTCGCCGCATCAAAAGCAACTCTGATCATCTTCAAGGCACAGATGCATCACTTTTTAGCAACAAGTTTTGGAATAATCTCATTTTAGCAGGTTAGAGAACTGGTTGTATCAATAAATCATCATTCACTCCACAGAGCTCTGTGAGCTGACCTCGAAGTGGCTGTCGGTATCGTCGTAACTGTGTTCCAACGGCGAAACACCTGCAGATACGGGAACATAGCCATTAGTACGCATACAACAACGCTCAATGATCAAAGTCCTTACATCCGTCACGCGGAGAGGACGTCTGGGATACATGATCGACATCTTCATTGGCATCGGCCATCGACACGCTGTCAAAGTCGAAATCCAAGCTGCTCGTGCTGTCCTGAAGCGGCTCTGGAGGTAAAGACTGCACCCTTCGAGCAATCCCCTTCGCTCGTCTACCAATAGGCGGTAGCTGGTGGGTCACTGGGAGCACTTGTTGCTGTTGAAGCTGTTGGTGCGTTCGCTGCATTTGCAATTGAGCCTCTCCTTCAACACGCTGACTCTCTAGGAACGCCTTAAACTGTCGAGAAGCACTCGGCGGTGGCGTTCTGGTGGTCATCTGAGCAGCGAAAGTTCTCGGCGCGTCAGCAGGCAGATCTCCAGCCATCCAAGACTTGCGTCGCTCTTCAAAGGTCCATGCCGACCGTTTCCCCTTCTCCATTGCAGCTGCAAACCCCGGGATGTTCTCCACCACATCCGAGAATGTAACCTCTGGACTGGGCGGAGGCAGGTGCGATTCCCAGTCTGTGTAGTTAGTCAGAGGTTGACTTGCGCGCCAGACTGCCGCTTGACGAATAGCCTGAGACAGTGAGCGCATCAGCTTGGCGTTGTCGCTCGTGCCGGCCGAATGCTCTTCAATCTCGTCCAGAAACATTCGCTTTTGACGCGTTGGTGTCGCCTGGCCCTGAGAGATCACAGGTGACACCTGATCTGCCGTAGCCGAGTGGTCTCGCGTGTTCGTACCGCTCAGTAGACTACCCACAACTGTGGTCTGTTCGTCTTCATCGTCCTCATCAGCATTCCTTTCGTCGTCAGCTTCACGTCCTGTATCGTCGTCCTCCTCTTCACTGCTCGACGAGTCTTCACCTTGGTGAGGATCAGGAACTCCGAATGTATCCATCGTTTGCTCAGCTAGCAGCCGACGCAGTAGCAGTCGCTTGGACACCTTCTGCTTGATAAGAGGGCGCATGGCTTTCCGCACCCCTTTGCTCGACCAGGCCTTTTTAATAGAATTCTCATGTTCTCGAGACAACATGACGAATTTGCCAATCTTGTCGTCCACGAGCTTCTCTCCACGATCCAATTTTCGCAGTACACGGACCAATGTACTCTGAATCGTAGCGATACTTCGATCAACGTTGGTGTTGTCGATTTTGGGGATAAGACAGCGATCTGCGTGCTTGCAGAGATGGCGCTGGATGATGCGGATGTTGTCGAAGTGTTTAATGTACTTGTTTTCCTGCGGATCGATGGTCATGTGTCGCGCACGTACAGCGAACCGCTCGCGGTGTTTGTTCTCGTTACTGATGTAAATCATGAACGGGACACACGTCGGATGCTTCTTAACGAGCGTCATCAGGTCGTCTGTGTTCAGATGCACTCCTTCCACAACCAGCGACTGTTTGCGCTCTTCAAACATCGTAAGAACACGGTCGAGCTTCTCGAGAACAAGGTCGGACTGCATCTTGTACCCCTTTAGCACCATCTTCTTGTGTAACCTGGCAGCCGACATATCGTCTCGATCTCCTTGAAGAGCTGTAATCATCTCAGGCGATAAGGCATCGCCAGCTTGGTACGTGGATACGAACGCGCATGGGTTCTCTTCTTTGGATGTGAACGATCTTAAGACGTGACGCACTGAGTCCGTAGGCAACACAGTCGTAAGTCTCAATCTGGCTGCCAATAATGACGCCAACGTCGACTTTCCAGTGCCTGAAGTCCCGCCTAGCAGTACGGCAAAGCTTTGATTCCTCTGAGTGATCTCCTTGGCCACTTCAAAGTCCAATAAATGGTGTGGCTTGACGTAATCCAGTCTCGCTAGAGACGAGTAGATGCACTGGTGTAGTAGATGCCAAGGTAGAGGAATAGGGGGCTTCTGCTCCTCTTCTCCCTTATCCTCGTCGCTGTTGTTACTGTATAGACTGCCGCTACTGCTGTTGCTCTCCCTGGACAAGTGTTTATTAAACACAGCAAAGACTTCCTTCGTGACAATGACGGCGTCCTTAGGTCTGCAACCCATTAGCATGAGCGTCTCCTGTAGACGGTAGCGCGTGAAGCTCTCGCTCTGGCCCTGACGCTTCACGTGCAGCAATTCCATGGGGTCGGAGCCGTCGGCCTCCGTCTCCACGGCGTCCATGGCGACCGACGGCGCGGATTTCCCGGACGACGCCAGTGGCAAGTGCACGGGCACGTACTGAGGGGCTGAGGATCCGAACGCGGGGACGGGGGCGTGGCCGGTCACCTTGGTGAGTCGTTTCCGGGATGGAAAATGGACTTCCTGGTTAAACAAAAATGAGCCCGGCTAAGTGCGACGGATATGAGCAATCGCTTTAGTGGGGCCTGCGATGTGTCATACCGTGACATGATGACTGGTTGACTAAGTTGATGATTTCGTCGAAAGGTTAATGGGGATGAAAGGATACTTACCCGAGAGATAGGTGATCAGCAGCAAGATGGCATTTTAACAAGGATGATCGGGAGTTCAACACATGCGTTACCTTTCATTCCACTATTGTATGTGTATGTAGTGAACTACGTTATATCGTCTCGGTAACACGTTAATTTCTGCTGTAGATTCACCAAATGATTCGGTGTCCAATTCTGTGTACGTACACCAAATTTCAGTATGCTGTCCCCTTTTATTTGTCCCATTCTGGCCCCATCAACGCGTCGCATCCTGGCCAAAGCACGGCGAGCCGAGCCAGCGTCAAGCTAAAGCTCGAGGCAGCGTGACGCACGCTCTCTGCTTCGCAGCGACGAAGTCGTGATCTCCACTTCGCGAGGACAGAGATCCGCCCGTCCAAGAATCGTGTCCCGTTTCTAGCGACCCAATACCGGTGTCCAACAGTACTACCGCCGTGGCGTGCTACACCACTTTAGGTCACTTCCTGGGGCCATACTAAACTCAGTATCTCGCAGCTTCGTGGCATCGTCCGCACGTCCCCCGCCAGCTCAGAGCTCCGCCCCCAGCAGAAGCAACAGTATCAAGTGACGCTTCTTCTCCGTAGCCATGGCGAGCAAGCGCCTGGACGCCGTCAAGCTGGCCAAGAGCTCGCGCTGGGAGGAGCTTCGGCGCCTCGTGGACGCCGAGCCGGCTACGGCGCAGCAGGTGGACTCGTACGGTATGTTGCCATTGCACTGGGCCTGTACGGAGCCGCAATCCATCGGCGAAGGCGTGTTATTAGCACTTCTCAAGGCCTTCCCAATGGGCGCTCGTGCTCCCAATACAGCCGAGATGCTGCCACTACAGATCGCAATCAAAGCCCAGGCGCGTATCGAGTGGCTACAGGCACTACTAGCCTCGTACCCGGACGCTGTTCTCAAGAAATCGCCTACAGGCGAGAACGCCGTGCAGCTCGCGCGCAAAGCTGGGCTTCCCGGTCGCAGTATTAAGTTGCTCGAAGAGATGTACCACCACGTTTGTGCCAAGGAAGGACTGCCTGACCAGCTGGCCATCGAGGAACAAGAAGCCAAGCAACAACAAGAGAGTCAACAACACGAAGAAGAAGGACAACTCCGACCTTCCGAGAGATTCCAAGCCATCGCGGGTGATCTCCCTGTGCCGCAGCGTGTCAGTGGCGTGCAGTATGGACAGCGACAGCGCCGACTCAGTAGCACAGCGTCGCTCAAGATGCGATCTTTCTCGGACAACGACTTCTACACGCAACAAGTGAACGTAACGCTAGGTACACCAAACATCGCGTCTGGAGCCAGTCCCTGGTCCCCACGCAGAACAACCGAGAGCTCCAGACCGCAGTCCATTGTATCGCAGAGACCGTCAACTACCGGTAGAGGTGCAGTTGCATTGCCACCGCGCTGGATGAACGCCCCAAGTTGCAGCATTTGTGCCCAGAAGTTCGGTACCTTCAAGAAGCGCCACCACTGCCGCAATTGCGGCCAATCAATTTGCAGAGACCACTCGGCTCGTGAACGGATGAAGCTGCCGCACTACGGACTCAGCGATCGTCATCGTGTGTGTGTTGTATGTCACGATATGCTGCGCAATGCGAACCGACAGGCACGACAGCAGCAGATCACGATGCAGGCAGCGCAGCGCGGGGGCCAGCACACGCGTATTAGTCAGGCTATGGCTGGAGACGCTCGTCGTTCGGATGAGGCGCAGCGTTCGCCTCCAAACATGCTGGAGCGTCACGTCTCGGCTCCTGCGCGGGCTTCAAACTCCGCTGCTGGGCCCTACAGAGCAGCAAATGACGCCGCAATTAACGAACAGGTCGCGAATTTGCAGAAGCAGGTATCACAGCTCATGGAGGAGAAACAACAAGCCGAGATGCAGTTGCGTGTGCAGGCTGAAATGCTGAATGACCCGGATCGACTCACGAATGGCTCTCGGGGCAGCAATACCAGTGGAGGTAGCGGTGCTGGCAGCATGCCAATGTCCCGGGACCGCCAGAACTCTCTCCCCATGCAGATGCGTGCAGGTTCTACTACAAATACTCCACTCAACACAGGTCCAGTGCCCAATCCGGGTATTGCAATGTATCGTTCGACGGGCCAATTGCTGAACCGAACGCAGAGCGCTGGCAACTTCCGACCCGCACGCGAGATAGACATCGATAGTCCCGACTTAGATCCCCAGCCACAGCAAATTCAGCCGTCTCGATCCAATTCGACTGCAGTAAACCCGGCACTTCAAAGGACCACAAGGCTGCAGGATGCACTTAACACGATTGCGGCTGTAGAGTCCACTTACGACGACATTGATGGCTCGGATTCAGACTCGGATATTGAAGGACGACAGACAGATATTGGAGATCTTCATGACGCTGAGGCAGACGCTGAAGCGGAGATTGATGACGTTGCGAAGGAATACCTTATTGACGATGAAGACGAGGATGATGATGACGAGGAAGCCGTGGTGGAGGCAGCAAAAGCCGCTAATGCTGTGCAGGACGAGATCGAGACAGAAGCGGAGAGTGAGGACGATGTGGGCAGCGATACGTTGCCAGAAGTGGACGTGCTAGTGAATCTAGGCCATGTGATGATGGAGAAGGGCAGTGTGAGCGCAGCGGTGCAAGCCTTCACACGCGCTGTAGAGATCCGACCGGATGATCCTGCGCTTCATTCGTTGCTTGGTCGTGCGTATTACGCTGACGAGAATTTGGAAGATGCGGTGGCTTCTATCGCGAAGTCGCTCGAGTTGGAGCCGTCGGCCACGAATTCCACGTTGCTGGGCAAGATTCTGTTCGAGAAGGGAGACCATGAGAAGGCTATTGCAGCCTACCAGCAATCTCTGGACATGCAGAAGTAAAAGGTGAAGTAGGTAGGTAGATGTGAGGCAGGACTTCAGAGCGATAGATGATAAACCGTCGAGCAGTAAGAGTGTTTTTTTTTCTTAAAGAAAGTGGAAGATCACCAATTTTTTTGTTCGTGAACTAGATGAACTTCGAACTTCCAGCTACTTTGGCAGTGATGGTAGCCGTTCGTTGATCTCGTTATCAGGCACTCCAACACGCTGCAACATTATTTGGGTTTCAAACATCTTCACTTCGAACTGAGCCTCCTTTGCTTTTAGCTTGAGAAGTTCGAGATACTGCTCTTGGACGTGAGAACTCGGCTCTCCACGCTGCGTTGCCGATGTGCCGATGTCATCAAGACCGGCATCATTATTAGTTGTCTTGTTGGCATTGGACTTGGTCACGGACTTGGTCTTCTTGCTGACCCTCTCAGCCACTCCACACGCATTCCTTTTGCCGTTACCGGTACTGTTTTATTCGCACAACATTTCCGGACAAAGCGTAGACCTTCACGGGATCCCGCTCGGACATTCACTCATCTTGTCCACTTCAAGCCTGATTGGGAGGTGACGTTGGCCTCGAGCTTTTGAGACCTCGACTAAACAAAGACAGTTCAAGCTGAGAAGGATCCGACCATGGCTAACGGTCTCCTGTGCTTCCGGTCGTTATGGGGCTCACCAACCGCTTTAAAGCTCGCGAGCGACAGCACTGCGGGGTCCACGGGGTCGTATGCGCAGCAGTTGCTCGCGCATATTCGCCGTCAAGGGTTTGACGGGATTGAGGCGAGTCTCGGAGACTTAAAAGCTCTCGGTGGTACAGGTGTAGTGCTGCCATTGCTCGCTGAGCACGAACTGGAGTTGATCGTCGGCGTCTACTCCGGATGGGTGGACTATGAGCCTCAGAACCTGCATCAGCAGTTTGAGAGCGTTGAGAGCCACGTCAAACGCTTTCGAGAGCAGCTAGAGACGGTCTCTAGCTTCACTCAACGTCCGGTGCACGTCAATGCTCACTCGGGTAGCGATCACTGGCGTCCGAGTGAACAGAGGGAGTTCTTGAGTCGCGTGAATGAGATCGAGAGAGAACTTGGATGCGACGACATTCTGGCGCACGAGACGCACCGAGGACGCATGTTCTACTCGCCGTGGCCGACGCTGGCGTTGTTGGAAGAGTTCCCGAGCTTGAAGCTCACGCTGGACTTCAGTCACTGGTGTGTGGTGACGGAACGACTGCTGGATGCACCGGAGGATAATGAATGGCTGATCAACAAGGTTTTGCCTCGTGTTCGCCATGTTCACGGACGTGTGGGGACTGAGCAAGCGGCACAATTACCGTATCCTCTCGATGACGAGCTTTCACGCAATGAAATCGAGCGATTTCAAAAGCTTTGGAACGCGATCTGGATTCGCCAGAAGAAAGAGGAGAGTGGGAAACGCCCCACGTTCACGCCGGAGTACGGACCGATCCCGTACGCTCCGCGCCACCATGAGGACCAGCAATTCGAGGCGTACAACATCGATGAACTTTGCGCACAGCAGGCCGCAGCTCAGAAACAGAAGTTCGATCACGTGCAGGGCTAAGAGTAAGGAGTGAGAACTGATACAGCACATGTAGCTCACATTTCGCTGCAAGAGGAGCGCTGTAGCCTCTTTACATGTTAAAGTATCCAACTGCAGCTTAATGCACATTGACTTTGATTGGCTCGACATGTTGAAGTCTTGACTTGCTTTTTTTTCTGAGCTATCATGGCGCTAACATTAGCCATTCCTTGTTACGTGATGTTTAATGCCTTACTTTCTAATATAAATAGCAGACCCTGCGTCCTTCCTCAGGACAAACCTGACGTCGCTCTCAATTTCTACCAGCCAAAGAACAGAGCTACCAACTTACACGTGCAGCCGCGGCTTGCCGTGGCAAAGTAGAGTGTGCTGCTCACGGCAATGGGAAGCGCGGTTTCAATTGGCAAGAATGACCCCAAAGCCAGTAGATTTGCAACCACCAGCGTGATTCCTACGACAAAACCAGGAAACAATTCGAAACCTCCTCTTCCGAATGGGGAATCAAAGCGCAAGTTGACAATGCGGCATACAGTGCGGTTAGACACGGAGATCAACCAGAAAATCCAAACAATTGTGCTGGAAATGTCGAAAACGAGCCGAGTGGAGCTTACGTCCACAGTGGATCGTGAAGGATCCGGTGTACCAACGGGCACGTTGACAAAACATGGTTTGCTCCCCTTACACAACATCCCGGAGATTGTTTTCTCAATGCCACATCTCACGGAGCTCAATCTGAAATGCAACGATATTTCAGTGTTGCCCAAGGAGATCGACGCGCTAGTGGCACTTCAGGTTCTCATTCTGTCAAAGAATATCATCGCTGTGCTTCCAGACTCGTTGACTAAACTCACAAAACTACGCGTATTGGAAGTTGCGAGTAACCAACTCACTGCGTTGCCTGAATCTCTGGGGAAACTGGAATCGCTTGAAATTCTTCGTGCTAATCGTAACCAGATTGCAAAACTTCCTGAAAGTATTGGCTTTTGCATGAAATTGCGAATTCTCAACGTGTACAACAATTTACTCACAGAACTCGGGAAACCAGTGAGTATCCTCCCAGAACTGCTTGAACTCAATGTGAGCAACAATCAACTCACGAAACTCCCAACCGAATTATTACGATGGAAAAAGTTACGGCGATTATTGCTTCAAGTGAATAATCTTGAATCACTTCCAGCATTTGACAATTTATGCCACCTTGAAGTTTTGCAATTGCAACAAAACGAGTTGAAATCTCTACCAAGTATGAAAAACCTCGTGCATCTGGTGAAACTCGACGCGAATAGCAACAACATCAGTGAACTACCAACTGAAGTTGCTCAAATGTTTGCACTCGCACATCTAAATCTTCGTCGCAATAAGTTCGAGGAGATCCCTGCGCAACTCGCACGTTGCTTGGCATTAGAAATTTTGGATCTTGGTGAAAACCCAATTAATTCACCAGTACCTCCAGAGTTTGCAGAACTCTCCAAGCTGCGTACACTGTTACTGGACGGGTGTAACATCACAGTGTTACCAATCGAGCTTATCGGTCTCAGTGGTGCGTGCCGTGTACATTTGGGTGCATGCTTGAAAATGGATGACCCGGAGACGTGTGAAGTGGTTCTGGGACTTAAAGACAGCTGCAGTCGTAGAGGAGGGTGGCTCAAGATAGGAGACTGGAAGACCGAGCACCGAACTGAGAGTATGTCGTCGGATTTCTGGGATCTTTATGAGGAGCTGGAAGGCCAAATACCAGATGAACCTGCACGGAAGAGTAGAGTTACAGGAGGCGAAGGCAGCTCCGACTTTTTCGCTGGTAGGAAGAATCTCACATCATGTAAATAAAGACGTTAGGAGCACGTGGAGTTCGTCAATTCTTGATGTTGATGAGTTCTACGACTACCTTTTTGCCGGTTTAACTTGGTGGACTACTATAGTATGAGGATGCCGCCAGCTCTTGCTGTTTAGCGTGTATTTTCTGCACGAGTGCCAGGCACATGAACTGCTTTCGCGAGAGTTTCCGTACCTCCTTGAGGAACACAGACAACTCCATCTCGTCGTTGCTCAACGCGCGGTCCATGTAGTACAGTGCGTCCTCGATCGCGTAATGCTCCGCCAACGTCTTGATCATCCTGTTACAACCACATAACAGCATAGAATTAAGATCTTATATCCATAAAAAATAATATACAACACCGTACTGTTTTGACAGCGCATCGCCTTCGACCAAGATCGTGTCTGGATCCACTGTATCTTTCCCCTCGTACTCTTCCAGCCACGCCGTTACCTCTTGATCCTGTGTCTCCACCACACTTTTTGCTCGGGTAATATCGTCCCGTAGAAAGCGCAACGACTGCAGTCCACGCTCTACATTTTCCCGTGACTGTGTCAATTGTACTTCATGCTCGAACTGCAAGTCGATGTCGTCTCGCACGCGTTTGAATATTTTCTCCAGTTGCATCTGGATTTTACCCGTCACTTCGACTTTCAACGCGGCCGCACGCTCTTCAGGCCTCACCTCAGTATACACCCCAGAATTCGACAAGGACGACGCTCCCAGAGACTGTTGACTGCTCCCAAAGAGTGAAATTTCTTCACTTTCCTGTCGTGAATGGGACTGGAACTGCGAAGAATAATACGGCGACGGCTGTGGTGGATGTGACTGTGCATACGAACCCTGCTGGAAGTATCCGCCTGTGCCGCTAGTGGCTGCAGATGCGCTGCCGTTGGCTCTGTTCTGCGGTCTGGAGGACGCTGGCCGACGGAATACTGGCGGCATATTACCGAAGATACTGCACATGTGCGCCACGAGCTCCAGCATCGTAAAATCCGGCCGCCAGTCGCTTGTGTACGGGATCTTGACGTACCCATCGCTGGTTACGTGTGGGTGGCCCGGTTTGACCATCATGTCGGCGGTAGGACGAACAAAACACACGGGTGGGGACATTGGATACGCCTCTACGACCCAAAACTCGACAGGGATGTTGTACTGATTGCCTCGATAGAAAATGGGGATAGTACCCTCCAGATTGAGCAAAGTGCTGGTTGTGCCGTCATTATGAGCTGTTCAAAGACACATTAGAGTACGTTTCAATCACTTAAAAACAGCGACTCATTATACGCACCGAATGTGCCGCAATTGGGCTGCAGCGACGGGATCTGGCCAAGTAGATTGTACACGTCTCCACGTACACGAGAACTTTGCTGTAGATAAAGAGAAGGGTGGTTAGAACTGGGGGGAATGAGATGAAGAAGAGCATGATGAGACGCACGGGGTAACACTGCAGTGACGACAGGATCTGGTCTAGGTTGCTCACGTTGTTAGCGTACATGGCGGCGGCTCCGTCAGTGCGGGGCTTTCACCTTCTGATACGCTTCCCCCTGGGTAAAGTTGAGTTGTAAAAGGGTTAAGTTGCGTGACAATCAAACAACTTAAGTAAACAATATTTTCTAAACTGGATTTTTCAATGTGAATTTCGTACTTAGTGGAAAAGTGATGATGATGTTGAAGTTGAAGTGAAGGCAGCGATTGCTGCCCCGCCCGAGGCGAAGCGATGTCTGCGGTTGAGTTGTCTGGCCTTGCTCTCGATGGTTTCTAATGCCTTACGACGCAGGAAGGGCGTGTCTCGAGGACTGCCGATCACCACTTCGGCGTCTTGGATCTGGTCCACGGCTTCGAACACTCGAGCAGTCGGCCGCATCTTTTTGGCCTCGACCTGCATCTCTACAGCGGCGTAGAACCGCACAAGCTCGTGGAAGAGAGCGAGACGCAGTGCACTGGACACGTAGTAGGTGCCACGAGGCAGGTTAGGCAGAAGACGACGCAATTCGGATATCAACGCGGCCGAAATGGGGATCCCCACTACAAGGTGCAGCATGGTTAGATCCTGTTGCTGTTTGAGCTTGTTATTGGATGGAAAGCACTGAGAACCTGGCAAGACGTAGCCATCCAAGCCCTCAGGTGCAGCGTGTTGCTCGCCTTGTGTAGCTTCGACTCTCCGCTCTCTTATTATTGTGGAGATTTGGTCGGTTTGGCACAATGCGTCATGTGTCTGGACCGGTTTTTTAGGCTTGTCTTCTCGGATGACAGTGTGGATGGTCATCGCGGCTGCTACTGCCGTCGTTCGAATGTCTGGGGGCGGGAGCATCTTGGTAAGTTGCTCGTGAATGGCCTCAATCTGCATTCTACCACGTCCGTTGCGCTTCGCCGATGTCGACATGGCCAGAATGGCAGCACGCAGAAGCGTCTTAAGTGGCGTCGTAGAGCTAAAAGGCTTGTTTAGATCCGCTTTGGGCCCCACTGCTGGGCCGGAATGTCGGCGTAGGGAGTTATATAGTACTTTGAGTGAGGCCTTGGTGTGTTGCAAGCGATCATTGCGCCGTGCTTGCTCCGCGTGGAATTTGCTCTGTATCAGCCGCAACAATCCCTCAATTTCCAAACGGTGGCGCTCGCGTTCAATAACTTGACGTCGTCCGTATTGTTCGAGCACTAGTCTTTTGTATTCCTGTAATCCGTCAACGTATTGCTGCTTGAGAGCCTCAACTTCGCGCTCGTACATACTGCGCAGCGCATCCAGTTCCGAGCGAGGCACCATGTCCAGCTCCACGTGGGACACAACCTCCTTATCCGGGCGAGGTACTGCATCAACATCTGACGAAGGAATCCTATCTCCGTTAAGAGTAATAGAAACAGCAGGGGTCGGTTGGATTGCGTTCATTGGCGATCGAGTTGGGTCTTCGTACTGAGCAATACTCTCGTCCACGTCCAGCGTCTCATCGCTTTCTATTGGTGAAAGCAAGGGGAACACCTCGGCCACTACACGCTGCATGACATCATTCAACTCGCGCTCGTCTCGTTCTACTTCCTCTTCTTCCTCGTTTTCAGTGTCCTCAGCTTCGCTCTCACTGCTAGACAAATCGTACTCATCGTTTATTGCAATTACCTCTGCAGCAGGAACAGGCTTCGACGTGACTTTGACAACAATCCCACCTTTTTGCCGCTTGGGAACATTTTCATGCGGGCTACTTTCACGCAGTCTTAGTGCAAAAGGTGTCGCCTTTTCCGACTCGTTATTGTCATTTTCTCTAAACAAAAGTTTCGACTTGCGTTGTTCCCCAAATCGAACTTGCAATTCTCGCAAACGTCGTGATAGATCTTCGTTTTCGGTTTCCAGTTCCTGTTTGACATTTTCCATTGCAAGTATCGTCCCTTCCAGTTCCCGAATTTTGTCATCCATATCCTGATAATGTTTGTGACTTTCATCAATACTCACTTTGGTCTTTCGCTTTTCCTTTAACGCCTTGGCTTTCGCTCTCCTGGCCTCTGCCTCCGCTCCAGCAAGTGCAGCAGCCTGCGCCGCTGCTTCTGCTCGACTGCGAGTAGCTTCATTCTCTTTAAATCGCTCCATTTCCTGCGTTTTAGCTTGCAAGACGAAGGTGTGTTTCATGATTTCCTCACTCTGCGCACGGACTTTTGCCTCAAGTTCCTGTACTTTTGCTTCTGCCGTCGCTGCCGCCTTAGCACTTGCCTGGAACTTGTCACGCCACGAAGCAATTTGCGTATTTGCTGACTCTGTAGCGGTTTCATTGTGCTCTTGGGCGAGACGAAGTTCCTCCGACTGAGTGCGTAGTGCTCTCTGGGCCTTTGAGAGGTCCTGAGCTTGTTGTTCAGCTTCCACACGTGACTCTTGTTGAATACGTAGCGCTTCTTGCAGTTGAGCAGCCAAGGAATCTTTTTCACGATGTAAAGCGTCGATTGTATTCTTCAATTGATGCTCTCGAATGGCATAAGGAGGAGGTTTACTGTCTTCTTCGTCGCTGTCCTCTGATGCCGTTCCGTTTGCTGCTACGGACTGCAGAACCTGATGGATATGTGAAAGACGCTGATGTCGTCGTGAAGCCCGCTCTTCTGCTTCTGTAAATGCATTCCCTACTTTATGTGCTCCACTACCGATAGCAGTATTAACTTCTGGGTCCTCGGCAAAGTCAGAGACAATAGAACGCTCTGTGTGTGTGCTGGTACGTGCCAAAGAGCGATGCGTTGACAGCAGGACGTCTCCAACTCTCCACCGAACCGGAGTTCGCGTCACCTTGCCTCCAAACCCGTCATCTTCGAATTCCTCGTGGTCCGCAGCAGCCACCGCATCGTCATAACGACGCACTAATTCCTCCACTCGCGACTGAATTTCCGCAATTTTGGGATTGATATCGTCAGGCTCAACTGCTGCCAACATCGCAGCGCTCGTGTACGTAACTCGTGAGTTCCTCTGTTGCCCCATCGAGGCAGTATTGGCAGGCACACTAGTCGGCAAACTTACAGCGACCTGTCTTCTCGGTGACGGAGCATACCGACTAGCTCCCTGGGCAGGAGGCCCAGCGCAATTACGCTTCATGAAACAAAATCAAAGTAGAACACTTGAGAATATTTTTAGGCAACTCAACAGGAAAAAAAGTTACAGGATTATGAACAAGTCACATTGCCATTGTCAAGCACAAAGTTACAGTGGTCTGTGGTCTTGGGGGCCCTCTGTTTATGTGTAGAGAACCCACCGATAGCAGCGCTCGACCAGGCCGCTACCGCCGGCCACGGCTTTACGAGTTGTCATTGATGCTGATGAGTTTCTTCTCCACGTCCTCAAATCGCTCGGAACCAGCTCGATCACGGTGGAAATACCCTTGAATACGCTGTTTCTCCGTTTCACTCAAAGACTCGAGGCAAAACTTGAGATGCGCTGGGGTCAGATCCTTCCGTGTGATGACTCCACGCACTTCGTTTCGTCGGTTCAACACAATGAGGTGACGAAGTCCCAACGACCGGAACAAACGGAAGGCGCGCGGCACTGGAGTCTGCTCTTGAACAGTGTGAGGCGTTGGGTTCATATACGGCGTGAGATCCATCCACAAGTCCCTTTCCTCTTCATCCAGTTGAATGTCATTGATTGACGGGTATCGCGGGTAGCTGCCTTCCATGTCACGGTATGATAGCGCATACTGGTCATTGTACAACAGCGTTGTGTCGCTAGCAGGGGTGCGAACAAACGGCTCCGGTTTCTCAATGAAAAAGTCCTTGCGTTGAAGTAACACGGCCAAATGGTGCCGGTAAATGATCCCAGAGAAGCGAGGAGATTTGCGTTTACCCCCCGAAATGGGTCCATCTTGGTTGCGAGGAATAATTACAGGGAAGCCACCGTGGTTGCAGTTCTTGAGCACGTCGTAGATCTCTCCAACCTTGGCGATGTGCGGTACACACTTGGGTGGCGAGCTCATGATGTTAATGGCTCGTAGGAATCGGGCGTAGTAGGGAGGATCGAACTCCAGGAACGGCAAGTGGTTCAGGTGGATGTGGATGTCGTACAAACCCTCGTTGAAGCTGTTACCGACCCAGCGAGCTGCCATTAGCGACACCATAATGGGGAGACCCCACTCAATCACACCAGTGCACTCGAGAATGATAACCGTGAGAGAAATAGTCATTCGTGCCATACCACCAAGCATACAGGCAGAGCCAATCAACGCGAACATTCCATCCTGAGCTCCGACAGGGAAGCCCAAGTAGTGAACGATCATGACGCAGATACGGCCATAAGCTGCACCAGCCAATAGACTAGGCACAAACAGACCGGAGGGCACAGCGATACCATACGTCCAGCATGCGAAGATGTAGAATACCACGAAGAACATACACAGCGAGAACGGCGTGAAGCTGGCGTCACCTGTAAAGTGCAGCAACTGCTTCATACTAGTAGCGTAGTTGACTGTGAACAGCGACGCCAGGTCGTTGTACTGACCCTCAGGACAATAGAACCGCGACAGTGAGTCGCTGTAGTCTCCAGCAAGATCACGACATGTACCGAAGTAGTACGACAGCCAGAACGAAGCTGTGGCCATACTAAACGCGATCAACAACGTCTCACCGAACCGTAAGAAGCGGTGGGTGACGTAGCGTTTGCGGAACTTGGTCAATACCGTATTGGCACCATTGAAACCAGCACCGAATAGACCACCGACCATTCCCATCAGGATAAACACTGGAACATCGAGAACTTCGTATGCCTTACTGCCAGCGAACTGTCCGAACGTGAATGTTCCCGTTTGTGTGCCTAATGTTCCACCAATGAAGACATGCCCCACGTCAGGTGTCGGTCCACTGGATTCGCTGGCTTCCATGAACGACATGAAGTAATTGAGCACAAAGGCAGAGACCATAGCGCAGAAGAACGTGCGCCAAGTGAGGTTCTGATGCCAGAACGAAGCGCCTTCCTCCAATGCGAACAGAACACCACCAATGGGGGCGCCAAAGGCAGCCGCTACACCAGCAGCAGCGCCACACGAGATGAAGTCGCGCTTCTCCTTGTCATTGCGGAATCCCTTGAACTTGGTCCAGCTTGTGTCCAGTCCAAAGCTCGAAGATTTACCCTGTGAAAGCCCAGCACCGATCACTGAGCCGCTGTGGATCATAGGGCCTTCTTTCCCGACTGGCAGCCCTCCAGACACACTGAAAAGGATGCCGAACGCCTTACAAAACAGCGTTTTAAGCCGCACGACGCGATGAATCTTAATCCCGTTAAGTGTGGCCTTAATCTCAGAGATTCCAGATCCCCCGGCCACGGGACACAGAATTGCCACGCAGTAACTAGCAACAGACACAAAGCCGACGCTAATGAGTGCGTAGACTAAGTATCCGGTGCCAAAGCTGCGAGATCCGGCCATCTCGCCGGCTACGAGGGATTCCATTGTGGCGGTACGGAACGTGGACAGCAAAGACGTCCAGAACTCAACGAAACAGGCCACGAGGGCCGTTCCTAGGCCTACACCGAACGTCATAACCCAACGCGCGATGTTGAGCGAGCGGATGGCGCTCTCGGTCTGTTCCTGGTCGTGTTGCATATTGACTCTGCTCTCGAAGAAGTCGTAGCTGTAAGACTCGCGGTGTTGCGCCTTGGCTCGTTTCTCCTTGTCTTTTTCTTTCTGCTCCTGCTTGCGAGTAGCGGCCGAGAACGGGTTGCGTCCTTTGCCTTTAAGCCAATCCAGCAGTGTTGTGCCATTGCGTTGGCGTAGAGCTTCCTCGATCTCGAAGCGAGAGAACCGAGCGCCAGAGTACAGGTCGCTTGGGAAGGAGTGTGTGCGCTGCACGCCGTAAGTCGGGTACTGCTCGCGTACGTGCGACTCGAACTGCGAGACCTGCGGCATGGCGCTGCGACTGTTGACTCTCCAGCTCGGGAAACGAGGACCGTCTAGTGTGAAACGCGGCATGGGTGACCGCAGGATGGAGGATGGAGAGCGGAGAGCGGAGGCCGTGCGCGCCAGGGCCGGGAAACGGCGCGGATCCTCGACGACCACGTCCTGACCAGAGGACAACGTGTCGCTCTCGTCGTCGTCGGCATTAGAGATGGATACGCGCACGGCGGCGGGGGTGGACGGCGCCAGAAGTGCGTCAGTCTCCGAGGGCTCACGGGAGGACGCCATGGATCGAAGCACAGCGATAAGTGAACACGGCGAGGGGAATGGAGGAGTGGAAGCGGTAGAGCCGACCTAGGCGGCAGATATGACCACAGTATCTGAGTTGGCTAAAATGGCATCTGTTGTTGGCATTGAGTCAGTCGATTGTACACAGGAGATGATATCAGAAATGAAAGGAGATTTGGGTATCTGATTGATCAAGGCAGATCTGCAGGAAAACATTTCGCGATAGGGGATTGGTTTGAAAGTTTCGATTACTGTTTCTTGTGATAATTGGTGTGATTATGATGTCATATTGTTATTTATTATTGAAGGTATTGTGGGTGTGCCACACCACGATATCATCTTAAAAATTGGTGAATTATTATATTTCGGCAGAGACCAGGCGCGTCATCCACCTACGTTTGAATAGGCCAATCAGCGCTGATCTTGGGTGGACCGGCGAATGAGACAGCGCCTAAAAGCTCGCCATGCGCCACGAGCTACAGTGTAGCAGCGCACCAGCTCCGCGCCAAAGCTGGTCTTGGTAAGCGCGAATATTTTGGCGCGCTTCAGCATCGCCGTGACATGTGGGCGGTGATGGAAGCGCTACTGCCACGCAGCAGACGAAGTCGGTGCTGGACAGCCTCGATTGGCGGTAGTGACGTTAAGCCCGAGCCGAAACCATGATGGTAGAGGGCCCGGTTGCAGCGAAACATAGCACGCCGTCGGTAGCGATGCCGACAGCGACCTGCTCGAATAATACCAGCCCCGGTGTGCCGGAGTCCCTCGTCAAGTGCTCACTGGAAGTTGTCATTCATTGTCTCCGGAAGTGTAATCTCTCTGGTCGTAAGGTGGATGCACACATGTTGCACCGGTAGGCAATGATCATCCCTGGTCGACACCGGTAGCACTAACAAGTTTTGAATAAGGCATTCGCTCATTAGCCACAACCCAGCGCTACTTGCTGCGTAAGTCTCCTGGTCTAAGTAGTTTTCTTGAGCCGCTGCAACGAACGGTTGCAGGTCTGAGTCTGATAACACTGTCAAAAGCTGCAAGCAAAGTGTCGACGAGCGACAATCACTCCACATGGCGCGAATCATTTTACTAACGTTACGCACATGCGCCGACAGCACGCCACGCCTTGTAACTTACGAGACGGCCAGTGGAAGCGGAAGCAGCAGTTCAGTCGTGCTCCGTGAGATTGCGCTCTGGGCCATGGGAATTACATGTAGCGCAGGTGTGAGGGTGTGGAGACCCCTGTCGTGCTCAAAGTCGCCACCGAGGGGAAACGTTTGGGCCAAAAGCGAACTGCCAACTAAGAACGGAACCTGTCCGCAGAAGCAAGCATAAGACGCTGGTGTATGCGCGGAAGCAGTGGCTGTTGCGTTTACGGCCAGGATGATCTGGTCGTGACAATGGCGTTGCGCCGGCTCTGATACCCGACGGATATCGGCAGCGCTGCCAGCGAAATTCGCCTTGACCGAACAGCGGCTTCAACATGCGGCCGAGCGGAGACCTGCCGCTATTGATACTCGCAGATGCATGGCTTCATTCGCGTAGATGTCACCGGGCCAATCGTCGACTAGCCATGTATGATGGCTTGGCACGCAGATGTCACGCCAGCGAGGCGGGCTCCGCTAGGTGGCTACAGCGCCAGCAGATCCCTCACCAACAGCGCGCTGACGTACGTCCGCAGCTGGCCCGGCAGTCCTGAGGTGATGCCATGCTGCTGCCGATACATTTTTCATGCGGGGAAGGCCCGCTTTGTGCGGCTTGGTCTACGTACGTCAGCGGCAAACGGCTGCTGTGCTTCAACCTGCGAAACTCGATTTATTCGCTTGCTTTTCATCGGTGATTCATAGGATGTCACAGGTGCATCACAATAGAGAGCTTACCGACCATTTCAAACACATGGCTTCATCCAGGGTGGCTTCATTGGCTTGGCAAGTGTATCTATTGATCAGGTGCCGCCACAATTGCTAGTAGCAATTTGCTACATAATGAACGTGCAAGCAGGTCGGCTCTGACACCGGCAATCTCAGCCACTGTGGAAGGCGCTTCACAAAGTGCCATTCTGGGCTGAAGATTTGCACCTCACTCTATAGCAGCGAAATGGGCTCCAAACTTTGGGAGTCCAAGGTGCCAAGATGGCAGGCGCTGGCATTCAGTTAGCAGCGGCAGCACCATTGCAGGGCAGAAAATTACGGTGTGATGGAGCGCCGCAAGCTGCGCACTCTCTGGCCTGTGTGCCAGGCCCACAACTGGGTTCGTTTACAGAAGCGCAACCGCCAGGCTTCAAGTCGGAATTCCGGACAATTGTAGATACCCTGCCGTGTTTCGCCAATCTTGATGCAAATCGCGGCGACCGCCCGCACTCATCCGTCCGAAAGCCAGCGGCGCACGTACTGTTGTATGCAGATGATCCGCGACTGGCGTGGCCAGTACGACACGATGCCGCACTCGCGGCGCTAGCGGCGAGATCCGCACGTCAGGGGCACTGGCCCATGGCGGCGCTTTGTGTTGGTTCGGGCAATTTTGCCTACGGCGGCTTGAGTTGCCCCTGAGCAGAAGAGCCGCTGCTCGACCGGAGAGAACCGTTTTCTGCCGCGCGGTCCTCCGCAACGGGCGGTAGCAAGCGGGCAATAGCAACAGCGAGCGGCAACAGTAAGTGAACCATACACTATGGTCTCCATCGAGTCCCGCGTGGTGTGATCTTAAGATCGCATTCTCTTGGTCAAGCTCGGTGGTCAGATTCACAAGCCCAAACAGATATTATCACCGCAAAAATATCAACTTTGTGAGGGTATGCAGGCGTCGGTATGGCCCGTCTGTGGCCTCTCTCACTTGCAATCACTATGGCGCCATGCGGGAGATTGCGCGCGCGGAAACGCGGGTCGTGGGTGTAAACGGGGCAGACTATCGGTCGCGTCAGTGGAAATCGAATGCAGTCCCTCCCCTCACCTTCCCCTGCAATGGCGCCACTGCGGGCTCCCTCTCGGGCGCCGCTGGCGTCAAAGTCGAATCCGCTCCCCATTCTGCGATTGGGGGCTTTGCCGGCTACGGGGGCCGAACGTGGAGACAAAAGAGTGAGAGAGAGCTGCGACGTTCGCGCCGCCGCTTTAGGTTTCTTCTAGACAGCAGCAGCAGCAGCAGGGAGGTGCAGACAGCCAAGCAGCAGGCCAGCGACGACGGAGGTAGTAGCAGCGCGCCGCACGTCGATGACCCTCAAGTGCTGGAACGCCACGCCGCCCCGAAAAGTGCCGGCGATCGACACGAGCACCAGCGTCGAGTCCTTGTTGGCCGCCGCCGCCGCCGCCTCAGGAAACCAGACCAGCAGCAGCCACATGGGTCGCGGACGCGCCACGCCTAAATCTGCGCGATGCCGCTCGCAGTCGAGCAACTGGGACAAGGATGCAGTGGATAACTCGGGTGAAAGCGAGGACGACCGCTTTGACGTGACGGCCGCCACTATTCCGGCACCGTCGCATCAGATCCACGCCATGCCTGCGTTGTGGGTAAGCGGCCGGAGGCGGCACAGCCGCAGCCGTCCCAGACGACGCACCGTCAGCGAGAACTACAACAACCACGGCCTCCAAAGCGGCGCCGGGTATAGCAACAATAGCACGCCCACAGGCTCCTCTATCAGCTCGACGCTGCCGTCTACGCTCTCCGGTGGAGACGAGCAGTTGCGCGAAGCCGCGGCAGCCGCTGCGGCCGGAGGCAGTCTCAACCAGCGACTACGGATCACATCGCCTGATGGCCCGCGTTTTCCCGGCTGGGTACGAGGCCAAGCCGCCGAAGTGCAGTGGGAAGCGCTCGACCCGAGCGTGCAGTGTGTGCGCATTGACGTGTGCAACGTGGCGTGGACTGTGCCGACCACCATCGCGCACCGCGTGGCGAATGACGGCACGTACCGCTGGCGCCGCGTGTATTGGGGCATGCCGATTGCCGAGGGCTACTATGTGAATATTTACGACGTGACGGAGCAGAAGGACCCGACGGACATGTTGCTACTGGCGCAGAGTGAGCGCTTCGCCGTCATCAAGTGAGCGAGCAGCAGCAACAGTGACTGACAGCAGCATCAGCGTAGCGATCCGGTTCTCTTCGGCGTGGCCTAGTGGCGAGTGTGTGTGCGGCCCGGTCCGACGGACTTGCAAGACCTTATTTTCTGGCACGCACACTCGGCATCCGACCACAAGCTGCGGCTCGTAGAAGCCCGCGGAGAGGTATTTAATGAACCCCCATTGAAGTCAAGACTAGATGTCGTGTTCGCGGTAAAGCCTAAGAGCCTAACACTCAACGTCGTGCAGCGTCGGCTCCGATACCGGCAGTAAACAGTTGCGGAGTCAACCCAAGTAGAGCTACAGTAGAGAAAAGCATAGAGATCGAACAAGAGAAGAATCACGATGATCCTCTCTGCCTTAATGGCTTAGTAGCCGGTACCAAGTGAGATCCTGCCCTCGTGTCTGTGCTCGGTCCTACCATCGAGATGAATAAGATCCGTCCTGCCCTTTCACAAAGATCGACCGGATGAAGCAGCCCAAGCCGCCGCCGTCGCTGCTCGATGTAGAGCTCGTTCGTGCAGTGCGGCGCGTCGTGGGGCCAGCGCCGCGGCCTGCGGACTACGTGGAGGCGCTGCAGCTATTCGCTGAGCCGCTGTCCGCCATCCCGTTGCCCGTGCAGTGCGACGTGGATACGGCGCAGGCCTTCCGCGACGCCTCACGCGAGGAAATTATGCTCAACGGAGTGCGTTTCGTGGGGGACCATCGCATTGAGGCCTTCGTAGCAGCCGTTAAGCGCATTGTAGGTGCACATGTGGGCGGCGACGAGCACCCAGACCGTGCTCTATTAGTGGCGGACCGTATCATGAGGGGCTGCAGCCGGACGCTCAGCGGCGCCGACTCTTTCTTCGCCACCCACGAGCTGTTCGCGTCGCCCGAGGTGCTGGTGAGTCAAGCGTGATGGCTTTATTCGTCCGACCAGCGTCGCTTACCTCTTCCGTTGTTGCTGTTTACCGCGCACACGTTGGACGACCGAACGGGTGCATTGCTTTCCGTGCTCTCTGGGCTGGACCTCCCAAATTGCAACGCAAGATCAAGCCCCGCGGCGACGCTGCCGTTCCGCTGGATGTCACCCTTGGCCGAGACTTCCAAGGTACCTCTAGCGCTGGCCCGGCGATGCCGGCGTCCTGGCCGACGCCATTGCGCTCGGACCTGCTTTGGCGCACTTCAATGCCGAGAAGCAGACGGGCGAGGGTGACCACAATGACCAGTCTGACGTGAATGTGCATGTGCTGTGCAGACCACCGCTTCAAGTGCCGCATCAAGTGCGTCAACCTCTTCGGGCTCTACGCGAACGAGGACATCGAGCGGCTGCTGCGCAGCGACCGCCAGGAGCTTGACACGCCGCTCGTGGCGATGGACGCCATCATAGTGGAGCGCATCGACCTCACAGCGGACAAGTCCTCTCGCCGGCTGACGATCCGCTCGCCTGACTGCAACAAGACGCCCACCAAGTTCGACCTGGAGCTCCGAGAGCTCTTCTAGGCGTTGCTGGCGGGTCTCCATGCAGCATTTCGATGCGCGCGGATCACGTGGCTATGCGGAGGGCGATGAGCTGGCGACGAATGCGCCTCCATCGCTGTAGTCGAAGCCCCACACGCTGCAATCTCTCGGGACTATTCCTTTGTTGCCGCCGCTGATATGTTCACCACTTGCTTGATGCTCTCAGCTGCGAAGGTGCCATACAGACCACAGCTCAGCGAATTCAATAAATTTTCTAACGTTGGATGAACGCGGCGTCTAGATTTGCAGTGCCCAGGCAGGTGTGCGAGCTCCAAATGAATCTTGCTAAGCAACGGCAGAGTCTAGCAGAATTCTCATCGTTGGACACACATAATTTCGTGTCATTGCAGTTATAACGCTAGGGAATGGGAGAAGGAAAGTAGAAGACGACCTTGTTTTACTGGATCCGGAGATACAGGATGGCTCAAAGGTACAGACAGCACTGGAAACTCAAAGCTTCAATTCTAGTTGCGACGTACAGGGCAATCCGCTGCTGTACTTCTTCCGCTAGCTTAGGCTCTGGGCTGCCAAGTAGTGCGTCAAATTCTAGTGATTCAAGCGAGTATCTACGGTCGATTGCGTTTGTCTATCTAGTAGGTTGCAAGCTGTTCAAGTCTAGCTTCGACCAGCTGAACCAGGAAGTGTCGTTGTGTGTTGGTAAGAGAGAAGCGCTGGGCAAAGTGTTCCACCACCTCGTGAGGGTCTTCATGGACGTTCAAATACAATTGGCGCGTCTCGGATGGCGACAAGTGGACGTCAAGGCACAAATCTGCCTCATTGTTACTATCATCTTCAATCATCCGTGACGGCCGCACTGGTGTCTGCACTTCTCGTTCATCACCATCTTCCAGTGGGCGCAATCCTTTCATCATATCCAGAGGCCGATGAGCAGCTTTGGTTCGCCTTTTCATCAGTTTGGTGCTCTTTGCAGCTCGAATTTCTGTTGCGAACTGGAAGGGCAACACGATCGTTCGTCCGTCTTTTGCCTTTTTGAAACGTGCTGGTAGTAGTCGCTGCTCCTTGATCTGTTCATCCAGCACCTTCATCTCGGTGGCGGTGCGCATGGATTCAATTTTCTTGTGAAAATCTACCGGCAGTGCATTCCCTGCGAGTGCGACGTGGAGATTTTCGAGCCGTTCTTCAATCGTCAGTCCGTTCACGTAACTCGGTCGCACACTACTCTCTCTTTTCTCCATCTCTTCTCGGTGTAGTTTAGCTTCCAAATATTTCTCTAGGACATTGCTTTGGCGCTGGAATGCATCACTGTAAAGCCGCTCAAAAGTTGACACCATAGCAGACGATGTAGTAGATTTTAGTGGTGAGCCATGGCGAACAGGACTAGGATTAATCTGCGGGTGAAAGGTGCAGCCTTCAAGCTCCTGCTGCGCCTTTGCTTCTCGCAGTTGATCAATCTTCTCTTGCAGTAATTGCTCTCGTTCGCTAAGCAAATCTGACTCTGCTGTTTCGTTATTTCGGATAGGTTTCCCATGCAAATTGTAGCGAACACGATGTCGTTGAAAAGAGGCTTGCTTGCTGGTTTTAGTGTTGACCTTTGTGATATTTGGTTGACTTGGTTCCTCCTTGAGTTGCGTTTGTTTTCGTGTGTAATAGTTAGCTCGATACAATCGCAGCAACACTTGTACATCACTTCCCTGAAGCACAGAGTGGTCACCCGCTCTTCCACCCAGGATGACTGAAAAAAGCACTCTCTCCAGCACCTTCATTGACAGTTTAGAGTCTGGAGTTTCGCTGTCATTTCGTGTCAAAACTGTCCATGAATGCCACAGAAAAGTGATCTCACTATCGCTAGTATTTTCTTCCCACGGCGTGTTCAAGTCAGTCACGAAGCCAAAGTACAGTAAAGCACATGAAAATTGGATAAAAGTCACGAAGGCTGAATTGTCATCGTCTGATGACTCTGCACGTTGACAATCCTGACATAGCTGCTCAAGCTCCTGTCGAATCCGCGCCTTCATGACTCGCAGTGATCGACTGCTCATCTTTGGGCGATTCCGTTGAAATTCGAGGTCAAAGTTATCTTCCAGCAGTCGGTCTTGCTCTCTTTTCCTTTGCTCAAGTCCTCGCTGATAAAGCGACTCACAGGCCCTCGAAGCAACCGCAGATGCTTCTCGCTTTCGTTGATCATGGCGTTGACGTCGCTTCTTTGATCGGGGGTCATGTGCCTCGGTATTAGTTCGATGCTTTGCTAATCTGTGGAGCCTTTCTTCTAGGGACTCGGTCCACATCCCGTTCCTTAGTAAAATACGCTGAGAGCCCTTGGCAATGAAATTAACTGGCGCCACACTCCCCGCTTCTTCACGTTCGTGCTGCTCCCGCTTCTGTTCTAGTTGCAGTTTTTGTGATCGACGAAGTGAGATATCTCGTTCCATTCGGTCAGCAAACTTCTCTTCCTGCTCCTGGTCTTTCTTGCGATGTTTCTTGTTAATTTTCGGCCGAAAAGTGAGCTCACTGTCCTCAGGATTGTACACTTTGCAGCGCACACGTAGCTTTGAAGGCAGATATTGTCGAAGGTGTACACGGGGCTTCTTTGAGCTGGTTGTTGCAGTCTGCTTTGATAAAGACGTCGCTTTTGATAGTTTCGTTGGTTCGTGTAGCCTTGCTGGCATTTTGTCAGGATGGAACGTGGCCCACCCTTGCAATGGCGAACCCTTGTTTTTGGTCTTCGGTGCTGTCTCATCAATTTGAAGCTCATTCACTAGATCAACCACGCGTTTTGAAGCGGGCTCTGAGCAGTTTCTTTGCTCCTGCATCTGGAACAATTGGTAAAAACATACTGATATCAAAGCATGTACACTTCCACTATGTTTTGATCCAGCAACTTACCTTGATCAATAAGGGAAGCATTTCAATAGTCTTTACCCACTTGATTTTAAAGGTTTGTGGTAGTGAACCGATCTTGTTATCGAGAACTGAGAGAATGAATTCTAGCCTGTACGTTGCAACAGCAAATTAGCAATGCAAGACTCGTTTGCATCGAGCTATAACAACAAGCCCACCGTTCCTCACGAGACGAAGCGAATGAAGTGACAAGCTCCTGGCTAATCAAGTGCTGTTCAAGAGAGCAAATGACTGGCACACAAGATTCCAACGACGAAACGTCAATTCCACAAGCAAGGTCGGGCAGGTTAAGCCTTGAGCAGGTATATTTCAGAACCGATTCAAAGCGATGCTAACGGTTATCAGGCACGTTAGCATTCGCAAGCAATGGTAAGTGTGCAGATAACTTACCTCACTCGTAGCTTTCGTATAGACTAGCTGTAACATGTTGAAAACCTCAGCAGGGAGCGTGTCCTCGTCACTCTCGGCAGCCTTCGGCGAAGAGGGAATACCGTCATTCACTGGCTGCTTTGAATCGGCTTTTTCTAGTGGATCATCTTCAAGCTTTGAAGGTGTCGACAGTTCAATAGCAGTATCACCGCCGTACATTTCCTCAAAAAGACTGGCAAAATCCGCAGCACCCTTTACAGGACTAACTGAGCGCGATTCGTGCTCCTCCAGTGCCATTAAAGCCCACTCGAACTCGCATTCCTTGTTGCGGACTTGTTCTTCTCCAATTGGTATTTCGGCTGTTGACATCAATTGTGTTTTTGTCTTGGGAAATAATTCGTCCAGTAGCTTTTGATCAGAGGAAGGTCCTTTAACCGCTCCTGAGGTGATACAATCACCTCCTGTGGGCACACTAGAAGTTGCTGAAGTGTTTTTTATAACAGTTGATGGCGAAATGGCAGCCGTTCCTGCACGTTGTGGTTTCTTGGTTGAATCAGCCCCACCCATGAGTTGCAAGACACTCGCGCTCTCCCTGTCAGTAAAGCTCCAGTCGACATCGTCGTCAAAATCCGAGTCGTCAGAGCTAAAGTCCTGGAACACCTCTCTGTCTTCATCCATTTGTTAGTCTCTAACCTGTTGCCTCTAGTGCGTATAAAGAAAGAGAAACCTTCGTTTTTATGGTTATTATGGCAGTTTTTTTTTTACTTCAGTAGAAGTTATTCTCTGTGCGATCAGTGATTGGCTCGCTTTTTCAGCGAATGAATGTGATTTTTGTGGTCCACACTAAATCATGTGTCAGCTTCAGTTTGCCACAACGTGTCCGGTGTCCGGCGGGACGATGCTGTCGCACCTGAAGGAGCTCAAGGCGGACAAGAAGAAGGAGTCCAGGTATGGCCACGTAGACAGCGCCGTGGACATGAGCCCCGGGGGCTTCAGACAAACGCCCAGCAACGCCAGCAACGTGGAAGCGGGCAATGCGAAGCAGCAACAACAGCGCAACCCCGAGGACCTATCAGACGAAGACGACGACGACGTGGACACGGAGGCGTCCACGACCAAGATGGAGAGCGAGGTATTGGGGCACGACCTGCGGTTTCGCGTGAATGGCATCGTGGTGGACAGCGAGGTGAAGGGAGGTGCCAGGAAGGGCTGGGAGGGCGTGTACGAGATCATGTTCAAGAGCTCCACGCCCACTGGCCAGCGCGTGGCGCTTGTTCTACTAGTGATGGTGTCCATGAGTGTCGTAGTTGGTGAGTCACTACTGCTACTGGAGAAAAGGAGACGGAGGTGCTGACGCTTTGGCGTGCTTTGTGTTGCTTCGATAGCTGTGCTGGACAGTGTGGACGATATTCGGTACGCACAGCTGCATTGACATTTGTGTTGGTACTTAGATGAGAAACTGACTGTTTCTATTGTAGTGAGGACATTGGAAACTACTTGCTGGCGTTGGAGGCCTTCTTCACTGTGGTGTTTTCAGTGGAATATGCTCTACGACTCGTTTCGCTTCGTAACCCGAGCAAGTTCGCCTTTAGCATGATGGGCTTCGTCGACATGTGTGCTTTAGTGCCGTCGTATTTGGGCTTCATCCTGCCTGACGCAAGGCCGCTACTCCACTTGGCAGTGCTGCGTATCTTCCGAGTGATGCGCGTGTTCCGATTGCTGCGTCTCGCTCGGTTTGTGGACGCAGGTGCTGCACTGAGCGACAACATCCAGTCGAACAAACGACGCATTGCCGTGTTCCTCGTCGCGCTGTTCACGATGATTCTCGTCATTGGATGTGCCATGTACCTGATAGAAGGCGATCGTCATGACTTCTCGAATATCCCTATCAGCCTCTACTGGACGGTTGTGACCATGACCACTGTGGGATACGGTGACATCTCGCCGCAGACGATCGTTGGTCGCATGCTTGCTACCGTTGTGATGTTCGTTGGTTACGGTATTATCGCCTGTCCGTTGGTACTGAACCAAGCCGGATCACAGGATATTCTGACGGAAGTAATTGAATGCCCACGCTGCTTCCGACGGCTACACCAAGAGGATGCCAACTTCTGTCGTGTATGCGGCACGTCACTACGTCAGCCTCGCGCCAAGAGTATTAAAGCGCGTCGTGACCGCCGTCTTCGTCTCGCGAAGCTTCAGCTACCGATCCCGGAGGATGGCCTGCCACTGTCGACCACATCGACCATGAGGTCCAATGTTCGCCTGCTTTCAGAGGAACCAGACTCGACGCGGACAAACGGCCGATAAATCGGTGCCATGTCATTTTGGGATTGCTCTTGCTATCGGCAAGGAGCGGTCATGTAGCATACCACACGCGTTGGAGGGCAAAATAGACGATGTATGCATGTGTTTTTCGTCAACACACTTTATGTGTCATTTTTCTCAATCCGGAAAATATTGACGTGCAACTTACATGAATGTTCAATTGAAATTGCTATTGAAAATTATGACATCCTCGCTGTTGTACTCGCAAGGCTAGTAATAAGTTATGTACACCCAGTGGCGTGGCGGACTCTCCAAGATAAGAGTCTTCACGACGGTGGCGCGAACGAGCCAGGGATGGCCGTGCGGTAGAATCGTCGTCTCGTTTGGCGTCTCGTGGCGCAAGACGACTGGACGCTCAAGCTGCTGTGGCCTTCGCACACCATAACGCTGTTCCGCTCGTGGCAGAAGGCCTCGTCGCTACTGTAGCGCGGGTACACACCCAAGAGCCTTGGGTTACTGGAGTTTTGCAGTATTTCCTGGAGCTTGACCAGGTCGTTGTGTGTGGCCGCCACCTGTACGGTATCTCTCCAACCGTAGCGGTTCCAGAACTTGATATTCTTCACCCACAGCTTCTTAGTCTCTTCATCGGTGGCTGTGAGGATGAGTGAGTCGTTTAGCGTGCTGCTGGAGCTACCGTCTGGCCGCAAATGCACCTTGTACGTATTCACCTGGAAGGACTGAGGCAGTGACGCTTCGTCCAGCTCCTCGTCCTGGTCCAACACTTCGATCATGTAGCCACTGAGCTGCATCAGACGCTGGCGCTTGCTAGGTTCGTCCTGTGGCTCCATCTCTCCCTCAGGCTGCTTATACTTGTCCGCCATCTTTTGTAACGACGCGTCTGTCGTGCAGACTTCCAGTTTGGCCATTCGGCGCGGTTCCAGGGGCGGCAGAGCGTGCTCTGACGAAACGACGGGCTCCGTGCGGGTGTCCACGTCGAGGGAGCACACTAGGACGCCTGTGCAGATCTCCACGAAGGCGAGATGGCTGTTGCTGACCACCAGGTAGCCCGCGCAAGTCATGGTAGAAGGTTCGATGGGGACGTCGCTCAATATTCGGAAATGGCCATAGAGAACATGATAACGATTCAGCGTAATTTTTCGATACCGCGACCGTAGAAAACGGGACGATGATTCGAAAATAACAAAAGATGAGCCTACTTAAATCAAGTGAAAAGGATAAAAACGCTGCGACAGATGCTATTCAAAATCGGTAAATTACTTATATAACCTGACTTAAGTCGTCGTCAACATGGTCGTACAGTACCGTATTCGTTGAATGACTAAGATGCACGCTTGACCAAGACCATTATGCCTTGACGACAGCCAGCAAGCCCCCAACACTAGGATAGGAGAACGACACGGTGAGAACAGCACCAAAAGGATAAAAGTTGCTTCAGTCACAGCCACTATCATTCAACGCCCGTGCGACACCTGGGATGAGCTTTCGGATCCTCAAAATTTTTTTTAGTGAAATCGCGTGATTCAAGTATTTTTGGGAGTGCGCTTGCCATGCAAAGCAAACTGCTAAATTGCCAATGGTGTCCAATAGAGTAACCCGTATGCTTCTGTCAGAGCAATTGGACACCATACGATGGCAATATTGCGTCCAGCAGGATAACAGTAAAGCTCCTTTTAAAAAATTGGGCTATAATCCTATAGCAAATTTTTCTTGGTGTTGCTAGCAAAAAAAATGCTGGGAACTGTGAGAGCTTAGCTCAACGGAATCCCTTCTCGTTTGTGAGTTTAAAAATCTCCATGAGAAATACAACGCGTTCTAAATCCTACGGGAATCGCTCCATTACAATCGTATTCCGAGGCCGTTGAGGGCTTGTGACAGGGCACACTGAATCACAGTATGTACGAGCCGGCCGTTGCAAGATGCATGTCACCATTCCGTAAAACATTTGGCCCGAGAATTATTAATTCGTGTAGCAGTGTGTGCTCCAACCTGCGAACTCCGTAAGGAAATGCCGTAATTGAGCCAGTATACTGGTACTGAAGTACGGGTTTGAAGAGTCAGACGCTCGTAGTCGGTCACAGCATGGTAAGTCGAGCAGGCATGGTAAGTCGAGCAGGCATGTTAGCAGCGTGGAACAGCTTTCAATGGAAGGAAGTACATGTAGAGAATGCGGGTGCAGCAAGCCGTGGGAGTACAACCTACCACAAGACGTGGCAGAAATCCACAATATACACTGTGCGGATACCAACGAACATTACCGTTCTAATTGCGCTGAAACAGGTGATCGTTGCTCATATTGGATAGCAGGTAAACGTTGGATATCTTGATGCTATCCAATATGAACAACACTTACTTGTTTCAGCGGATGTGGAGTACGAAATGCTACTTGTCGCCCACATTGAAAAACTCGACCGCGCGCAATGCAACCCCGACTTGTTTTGGAGTACGACGCGCCCAGTGATGGTTTCATCGTTCCATCCTCTTTGCTCACCAGCTACATTGCTCACCTTTCATGCTGTAGGAGCCATTTCCTCAAAACCTTTAGTGCGATGGGACCTTTGATTACAGCTCTGCATTTTCACCGAGAGACTCTGCTGGAATACTCTGTCGAGAATAAGTTCAATCTACGGGCGGCTTGGGGCACGGGAAAATTAGTAAGTTAGTTTGATGACTTGAATGATGGTTTGGAATGGTGCATGTAATGCTACCAGCATTGTGCTAGTCTTGGACACTGGTCCATGCGACTTTCCGTAGGCGTTTCAACGATCGGCCATGCAGCTGATTTGGGCGGTGGTACATTTACACGTACAACAACTAAACCTCTTCAGGTAGTACGCTGCAGTGCATCCGTCCTCTTTGTACGTCCAGCAAGCGATGACAGAGGGTGAAATGTGATCCACCCCACCCTCTTCAGTGTTGCTCGCGGACAATTTCCTAAAACCAATCTTGCAGCAAAATAGACTCCACACAGTCTCACTGCTTCACTGTTCCAAGTGGCGTAGAGATCTATTCTGGGCACCTTCTGCTCTTTCACTTCTGTTCGCCTTCCCGTGATACGAGCCGAGCTCAAGTGGCAGACTTACACTGGCAGCGTAGTAGTCAACGTAGCACGCCGCCACAAGCCCCGTATCCCAAGTAAACAAAGAGAAACCACTAGCCGCCGTCGGTTGCCTGCCATTGGCAATGACCATCGTACGCCCCCAGTTACGACTCGTAACTTACGAGGGGTCACACCTAGACAATGGTTTCCACTGACTTGACTACAGTATGCCTTGGCCTTGAAGTTGCCTCGGCCCTTCTACAAAACGCAGTTCAAAGAGACGACCATCACTCCTCATCATGGGGGCGGGGCGACGTACTGCATTAACGTCGTTTCCACTATCTGAAAGGGTTTTCTTCCTACCAGTCATCCCACATGGATCCCTTTTTCGCGTTGCACTTCCCATTCGCCGTTCCGCACTATAAGTAGAGAAGCTCAGCAAGAAGCAAGGGAGGCGGTTGCCAACGCTACTCCGTCTTCCTCAACAGCGTCGCGACACCACGGGACGAGAAGGTCGGAAGAAACGGAGAAACGACTGTCGACGTCACTTACACACTCGCCCACAACCCGCAGGAACTCCGTCCATTACCTCTTCCTTTTTGACACTTCCCGAGTATGTTTGGCGGGTTCAGCGCCAATAGCGGCGCCAATGACAAGGTACAATTCGTAGCTGGCAACTACAGCGGCGCGCAGGACTCGGACGATGACATGTTCTGTGACGAGCCCAACGTGGTACTCACGCGCTCGTCGCCCACTCCGCATCTGTTGGCTGTAGCGCCAGTAGCTCGCGTGGCTGAGATCAAGGAGGAAGCTATGCCCTACGATGGCGCAATGGTGAACGTCGAGTACTCTACTACAGTCAAGACGGTCATAGTGCCTGCAGTAAAGCCCAACGACGCGACCGGGGGCTTCTCGTCCATCTCCGACCGTTTCCCTCTCTCCAGAGTGGGGAAAGTCAGCTGTGGTATGACCAGACAGGTTTTGTGTACTCCTCAGGTGCCCAAAGTACAGATAACAGCTCCAATTCCCATGAGCCGCTTGCTCAATGCCACACCGGAGTTGACACAGGAGGACCAGATGACTGTACTCGTGGAGGACGGGACGGTGGATGAGAACACCATTAAAGCCGAGCCGGAAGGTGCAACCACCACGACATTCGTAGCAGGAGCCAACCACATGCAGCAAATGCCAGTGAGCGATGTGTACAAGTACCAGGCCACTGATGTGGAAGAGAACGAGATGGAGGTGTGATACAGAATTGTAGCTTCAAGGTGTATCTAGATTACGAACTGATCAATAATTTGTGTATCTGATTGATGCAGCAACTTCGATGGAATATTCAAGAGCAGGTTTTCCAGCGGTACTTCGAGCAAGGACAGAAGTTTGAGGAATGGGGACACCTGGAGGAGAAAGACTCGTACGCTTACAAATGATGAAAAAGACTGGAAAAAAAATCTAAATGTTGTGTTGCAGGCGAGTGTTCTTCGTTGCTGGTGAACGAAGAGAGAACATCATGGCCGAGAAGCGGTTCCACGACAATGCTGTCCGAGATGCCATGGGCAAAGGAAACGCCACGTGGGTCAAGGAGCGACGAGATCGGTTCGAGGCTGAAATCCGCAGATTCTATGTATGTGGATTCTATTGGTTGTAGACTCAAATCGTTACTGATATTGTTTTCTTTATTTGAATCTACAGCACGACGAAACCAGACACAAACAGGAGTTGATGCTCACGCGGCTTGAAAAAGTGTCGCCATTCTCAAAATTCCCGATTCTTGGCAACCGGTTTCTTCTGCTTCGTCTGCGAGGAAAAGGAGGCAACGGAGAAGTATGGGATGTCGTGGACTACGCCAACAGCAAACAGCTCTGCGCTCTTAAGCTCTCCACTTCAATACGACACGCCCAACGCGAACACCACACGCACTCGGTACGAATGGATACTTCAAACAAGTGCTTCAAGTTCTTACAAACGTTTCTTTTCACTCTACAGAAACTCAACCACCCCAATATTGTTCAGGTCGGCGAGGCACCCTTCCTTATCCGATATCAGCAACAGCAATACACTGCGTTCACTGTTGCCAGCGTTGAGTCAGATCTTCAGCAACTCATTGAGGTACGAAATATCAACGGCGGATTCGTTGTTAACAGAACACTGACTTCTCTTTTGTTCTGCGGTATGTCAGATGTACGAGCACTTCGATGATGACTCTGCATACAAAGTGCTTTCTCAGCTTCTGAACGCCCTGAAATACTTGCACGAAGATGTACGTCGTTATTGCTGTCTGAATTTGGGTTGCGGTTAACTGACCTTTCCTGTCTTATAGATGGGCGTTGCTCATTACGACCTGAAGCCGTCGAACATTCTCATCGCCCAGGGCGGATGTGTGCAGCTTACCGACTTCGACTTGACTCGCGACGCCAAGGCAGCAACGTCCAACTCTACCGTTGGCACTTTGCGATATCTTCCTCCTGAGTGCTTCCGTCCGAACCGTAGCGACTGCGAAGCGACGGCTGAGAAGGCTGATATGTGGATGGTGGGCATCGTGTACTGCATGATGGTCACTGGAAAGCACCCAATCTGCCCGGACAAATCGATGCACGCTGAAGTAAAAGCGATGATGGCTCAGTACACGGGCGAACTTCGATATGCACGACCCATTTCTGATCTGTCTCGGTGGATCTTACAAGGCTGCCTGCATCCAGACCCGCGATGTCGACCAACGGCCGCACAATTGCTAGTGGCGCTCCAGAACGTGGTGCCTGTGCAGCAGTAAACCTACGCGCTGAGCAGCCACATTACAGCGACTAGGCTGCTGTACATACCACGACAAGCAGCTTGTCGTATTTTGAGCGTGTACACTAGACGCACGGGTAAAATAACTGCCACCTCGTGGCGTGGGATACCGCGACGACAGCCTGCCATCGTACCATACGAAACACCGATCAATTATTTAGCCCAAGTATGAGCTACAACTAATGCGAAGAAGCTCCTACTTTTCATTCAATGTTCTTTGCATGGGTTTTTCGAGCGTGTTTCATCCAGTTCAAGCCGCAAAAGTGTCGAAAACGAGCAAATTTGTTGGGTTCTTGGATGTGGAAACTGCGTCGATTGCCGACGATATCATCGAATGCAATTCCAACCGAGAACAAAAACAACCCCATGCCACGCACAACTGACTGGCCGATAGTGTCGTGATACAAGTCGTCACCAACAATTGGATGTCCGTGTCGTGCTGTATGGATACGAAGTTGGTGCTTGCGACCTGTAAGTGGCCACAGATCGACAGTGGAGATCCATTCGTACCGAGCACTAAAACACGCAATATCACAGTTTAGTTTTCCATATTGATGCGTAATCATGTCGAATAGAATTTACCTGCGCGTTGTGCTCACAATTCTCATTGCAGTTAGACACTGCTTGTTGTCAATTTCGCCGTCCAGGAAGTGAAGTTCGTCTTGGATTTCCATGAGTGCGCTTGGAAGCTCAATCGATGCGACCCCGGGTTTATTTCTATCTCTTGTTGGAATTTTCTCGCGCACATTTCCGACCAAGATCGCGCGATATTGCTTCGTGACGGAATGTCTCTCTAGCTGAGCTGACAAGTCTACTTCCGTCTTCCTGGTCTTCGCCACAAGTAATAGTCCACCCACACGATAATCTAAGCGATGCACTGCATGAGGCATTGGCAATTCGAAGTCTCCAGCTTCAGCAGCTTGTTGTGTCTGCAGTAGCAAAGGCAATGCGTGTTCCATTGTGCGCTTACTTCGGCCTTTAACGTGGATTCCCACGGGCTTTTCCACCACCGCCAAGTTGCTGCATTCGTAGACCACACGCAGTCCCTGGGTCTTGCAAGTCTTTACCCACGATAGTGCCCTTGGGTTGTTAGTGTTTGTAGAAGTAACCAACTGCTTGTGCTTCTCTGGACTAAAGTAGGCGAAGGTGTCGTTTACTGCAGCGCTGGTGAGCGTGGGTACCTGTGATTGCCCGTTCAATAACAAGTTCCCAGCTATTCGAGCACGTTTCGCCTTTGAGACAGTGCCCAGCTCAGGGAACACTCGAGCAGCTACTTGCACCCATTGCTGCGGCTTGTCTGGCGATCCGTCGGCTAGGTCATTCGCCGTAACAACGTGGTGCTGCCAGGAAGTTAGCGCTGCCATCAGCAAACTTTTACGTTACTGGAGGTGTCAATGACATTTCTAGCGCCCACTTTCAAAAGGCGGACTATCGACAACGACATTTCGGTCGCCCAATAGGCGGACCATTTTTCAGGACTATTCTGATCAAATTGGCGTTTGTTGTCAGCTCGGTAGCAAGGAGATGAGTACCCAACAGAGGGGCCGCAGCGAGTCATTGCCAGCGACAGCTTTGATGGCAATGTTACATTGCCATCATTGCCAATGTTACACTGAATGGTAAGTCATTGGCTTCCTGATCACCAAACTCTGTAGCCAGTTGTAGTGTTGAATGAAGAGGTTTTCAATGCATCGAGCGAGATCGCGTATCTGCTTTTGGCCCAAACTCATTCAACTCGTTCACGACGGCCGAAAGGAAACGCCAAACCGTTGGAACGGCGTCAGTCTTTGAAAAAGAGCAGCCTGCTGAGGTGATCTCCATCATGGAGTCCATGTGGTAGCCTACCACTGGTACGGTCACTCGACGCAACGCAAGCCCCCTATTGCATAATTTGCATTGACTGGTAAAGGCACGCAGAGATAAGCTGGACTCTGACAGTCAGCAGCAGCAAGTGTCTGCTACTTAGCTTGTATTTCGAAGAGAGTGAGCTGAGCTCTTAGTTCTTCCTAATCCCTTTCTCATACTAACTGTCATACACAACACACCACCTCGTCGCACACAAAGCTAACCGTGGGGATCAATACACTCAACTCCACCACAGCCCCACCTATTGATTTCCTCGTCACGCTTTGTGATGTTATACTCCTTCTCCGTTATACTCCTTCTCTGACATCAGTCCCATTGCAGCACGATGCCTTTCAAATTTAACTCTGGACAGCGGCTTAGTGAAAGCGTCAGCAACATTCTCATCTCCAGGAACTCTCACCACATCAATTTGTTGCAGCTCCACACGTTCTCGCACAAAATGATGTCGTACATCGATATGTTTTGTACGATTGTGAAACTCAGGGTTTTTAGCCAATTTCTTGGCGCTCTCATTATCCACAAATACGCGTGTTGGTGCTTGTTGCTCCACCTTCAACTCCTTGAACATTTGGCGCAAATGAATCACTTCTTGTACCAGCAGGCTCAAAGCCATATATTCTGCTTCTGTAGTGTGTAACGCGACTGTCTTCTCAGTTTGGCTACTCCAAGAAATAGTGCTGCCACAAAACTTGGTAATGTATCCAGCTACAGATTTCCGATCGTCAACTCGGTTCGCAAAATCTGCATCAGCAAAAGCTACTAGATGTCGATCTAGCTTTTGTCCTATCCATTCACGTCCACCAAGACACATGCCCCAGTCCACTGTTTCTTTCAAGTATCGTAAGCCTCTCTTTATTGCTTGCCAATGCAACAGTCCAGGGTTTTCCAAATATTGACTGCACTCACGCACTAAATAGGCCAAGTCTGGACGTGTACCAAGCATTAAATACATCATGCTACCCACAGCAGAGCGGTATGGCTTCAAGCTCATCAGATTTTTCTCATCGGCACTTGATGCACACATACTCTTCGTCAACTTCAAATCTGGAGTACTTGGGGTTTTACAGCCATTGCATCCGCTCATACCAAAACGTTCTAGCACTGACTTCCCATACTTGTGCTGATTTATGAATATTGTTCTCTCTTCTCGATTTCGTGTGACTTCCCAACCTAAAATGTAATGCAGCTCTCCAAGATCCTTCATCTCAAAGCGTTCTCGTAACATTTGCTTCATCTTGTTGATGAGAGTCATATTGGGGGCAAACAGGATTAAATCATCCACATACAGCGGAATAAATACCAGCTGCCCATCAATTACTTTAACAGCCACACAAGGTTCACATTTCAACATAGTAAATCCCTGCTCTTCCAAGAAAGACTTCAGCAGTTGAAACCACACTCGTGGTGCTTGCTTTAAGCCATACAGACTTTTCAACAAGCGACACACCCAGTCTTCTTTTCCTTTTACCTTATATCCTTCTGGCTGCTCCATATATACTTCAACATCAATTTTTCCGTTTAGAAACGCAGTAGTAACATCCATCTGATGTGTTTCGTAATCCCAGACTGCGGCAAACGTTAAGAGGGCACGTAGTGTTTCAAGCCTGACCACAGGTGAGTATACCTCTAGGTAGTCTATACCATAGACTTGCATAAAGCCTTTGATTACAAGCCTCGCTTTGTATCGATCAATCTCACCATTCGGCAAGTATTTAACTCGAAACACCCAACGATTCTTCAACACTTTCATGTTTTTTCTGCGTGGTAACAATTCCCACGTGCCATTCTTAAGTAACGCTTCATATTCGGCATTTGTTGCACGCTTCCACTGCATGTTTTGCTCGCACTCCATTGCTTCTTTATATGTTTCTGGCTCAGTCACATCACTCTCTGTCATGCAGCAATAGTCTTGCCACCATGAGTTGGCTTTTTCTTTTGCCATTGCGTGCTGAAGCTCCTCACGAGCTCTCACCCATTCAACAGATGAAGAACACACAGATGTGCTCTCACTCGCTATCGTATTTGAATAGCCAAGATGAATGTGGTCACTTAGCCACGACGGTGGTTTACTCACCCGTCCACTCCGGGTTGTGTAACCTTCTGCACTTGCACCTTCCGGAGCCACATACTCTCGCAGCCCTTTACATGAGGAAGTTGTTACGCCCCCCCTGCTTGAGAGCCCACGAGATTCTGCTGGCGTCTTCGTGCTCGTGGTCGTCATCTCACGAGACACCGAAGTAGAAGTTGCCTCTGTGCATGGAGCCTTTGATAGTTCTGATGCCGGTGCCTCGCACCGCATTCTGCTCCTCTTACGTTGAGACTCACCAGTCTCTGAGGCGCCACTCTTGGTCCGACCTCTTTTCTTAGTGCGTTTATTGCACTCACTAGATTGACTGTCAGTCTCTGATGTGCCACTTGCACATTCGTGTTTGTCAGCGTGACCATTTTTGGCCCCACCTGACCGGGCATCACACTCTGTATCTGCCCCACCTGGCCGGTCATTACTTACGGTGTCATCGGCCCCACCTGACCGACGATCACCTTCGTCATCGTCACTACTATCACTTTCAGCTTCGTGCATATCTTCGAGCATGGGCTCGACATTGCTATCGATACCAAAAAACTCGTTAGTTGACACTACACGCTGATCAGATGCACTCTGCTTCGATGCATTGCTAAGAAGCCGACCAGGTTTATCTTCATAAAAGACAACAGTGTGGCTGTAGAAAGGTTTGTTGGTACTGCTATCCAACAATCGATATCCCTTCTTCTCACGGGAATATCCAACAAATACGGCCTCTCGAGCTTTTTCGTCCAATTTACGCCTTTCCACTTTATCCACATACGCCAGAACTGCACATCCAAACGTTCGCAAACGAGAATACTCAGGAGCTCGACGATGCCATACTGCATATGGAACTTCCATCCCACGAACAGTGCTTGGTATGATATTCACATAATACGCTGCAGTTATCGCTGCTTCACCCCATAGAGCTTGTGGCAACTTAAAGTGAACAAGAATACACCTCATTTTCTCTGTAAGCGTGCGATTCATCTTTTCTGCAACGCCGTTTTGCTCAGGAGTGTGTTTAATGGTAGTTGTGCACTCCATTCCATATTTTGACTCACATCGTCGCTTTAAGCACTC